TAATGATACAGCCAATGAAACGTTGCGCACATTAAACATTGTAAAACTCTTTCACTTTAAAATAAAGTGAACGATCCCTCCTTGGGATGCTAATCGCTAGTCCTTTGTTGCTTCCGGCAACGTGTCGCTTTTCATGGTACATTTATATTTCTGGGTGTCCGTCCGAGATTACTGACTCCTTCAACTGAGAAAGACTAAAATAAAATTTTTTAATCCTATTTTACCTCTGGCCAGAAATGAGGATCACGGTGGACACAGTACGACAAAATATACACGCTGACACCAGCAGGGAATTCCACTCCTTTTATAACACAGCTCTCCATACACTCACGAACATTTACGTAACCAACCGTAAACAATCGTAGAACTTCAGAAAGGACTCGACCGAGATACTCAAGGCCTTGCACAAACTCGTAAGTTGACAAATTGCCACGTGTACGCGTAGCTTCATCAATTTCTTGCAGCAGCTTGTCTTGAACTTCCGGATAAGAAGCGAGATGGTAGGCGATCATGGCCAATGTAGACCCAGTTGTTTCTGCGCCCGCTACTAAGAACGTTATGCACTGGGCGACAATCTCCTCGTCCGTCAACGTTTTGACTTCGTTGTTATCGACCACTTCTTGTGCCTCCAACATGAGCTGAACAAGATCCTTGCGTCCTGTTGAATCATTTCTTCGGAGCTTCAGTATCCCCCTTGCTAGCGTCTCGAAGTACTCCACATGCTGGATAGGATTAAGGTCGATAAATTTTCTTAACTGGCGGTAGAAAGGAAACATGGACAGCGCTCGTACATACACTGGTACGATGAACACTGTCATTGCTTTCTTCAACAGCTCTGGGTCGGGGTTGGTTTGCGCGTCAGCCTTTAGTCCAAATCCAGCGGATAGAATTACATCCAAGCTGAATTGGGAAAAAGGAGTAGACACATCCACACTTCGATCTGGAAAAGAGTTTGGTTTTACCCAGATTAAAATAGTCTTATATCTACTTTCTAGAGTTAAAAACAGTCTCTTGCAAAGGTTTTGAAGCTTCGGATAAACTCTTGGCTAAGCATATTGCTACCAATCCTGATTAAGATTCAACTCCGTCGCAGGTTTGTGAGTACGCCGGTACCAACAGAGAGGTCAAATGTAGGCATGCGCATTGGACAGAAAACAAGACAAAACTGGTGTCACGCTATATATGCTAAAAATTTGATGTTTTTGTCTAAATAGGCAAAGAGAAACAGCAACTGGGAGAAGGACAGAAATCGGGACTCTTTTGACAAAAAGCATTTTTAATTACAGGTATCATGCTGATTTACCATTTAGTTTTGAGGTTTTCCAAAAACATTATAAGGTTTTCAAACATCGTAGCTTCCTCTCTTGTGTGGTTGTCTATGGGAAAACATGATTTTGATAGCCTAAAAACACGCCAATTTGTTTCAACGACGTTCATACAAGCGCAGGGTTTTGACCGCTGTGTTACCGGTACCTTTGATATCTGCGTTATGTACTGACCTTCGTTCGCTAAATTTTCGAACTTCGACACCAAAATTCCAGCTGCTTCTTCAACTATGGGTACGATTTCTTTCATCTTAAGCGAGCTGAATGTCGGTGTAAGAATGGAGCGAACTCTTTTCCAGTCATTATCTCTTGCACCAAACAAACCTTTGCTGAGCGGTGGTCGTCCGGCTAAAAAGTCTGGTCTGTTTCTGAACTTATGAAAATCCTTAACCAAAATATTCTTCAAAATTTCGGGATCGGCAACGGCTATAATGGGTTCTCTGCCCATATACATCTTGAAAACCTTCCCATATTTCTGGGTATATGCTAGGAAAGCGTTTTGTAGACCTTCATACTTTGAAGCATCGAGTAGGTTTCCGACATAAGGCCAAGGCGTCGGTCCCGGGAGGCAGATATGACTTGTTAGAGTGTATCCAGAGACGCCAAACCAATAAACAGCTGCTGCTAAGAGGAATAAAAGACCTATCCAGCTATAAGGACAGAATTCTGGTAATCCTGAAGCTAAATCGACCATTTTCTTTCGTTTGCCTTACACTGTAAAAGCGTAAAGCCAACCTATTTCAAATTGATTCAGTCTAGTCATAAATCTGTTTCGCTACCGTTTAAAGCGTTATCGTAACGCAAAGTAAGTACCAAAGGTATTAGGAGTAAAGCAAATATGCCAATCTTTTGTTCATTTGAAGGAATGTGAATCAAACTTGACAAGGAGATATATTGATATCTGATGTGCTTGCCCATTGATGAATGTAGAATGTAGATTTTAGTGACATTTGTGTGCTTAGTTTTAGTTCAATTAATGAAAAGGATGCTTATTACTTTTAGTAAATTCAGGATAGTTTAAGATCGAGGAAGACGAATTCAAAGTGTTCTTCATCCAGGATTAGGCTTTCGTAAAACGTAAATCTAGCTGATGAATGATAATTTAGAATTAGCAGAAAGTTTAACGCTTTCCATCATGGGCTAATTAGTTCACAACATGACAGCCTTTTTTACTTGAGTTAACTATTTATTTTGTGAACTTTATCACGGAATAAGATTACCGATGGAACCAGTGGAGTGGTAAATCTTTCTCTTCTTGGCTGTTTGAGGAAAGAAATATGTGACAGAGTACGAATGAAAAATAAAGACGAGTAACTTAACTCTTAGCAACAGACTTGCCCTACAAAAAAAAAAAACACCTTCTTCCAAGTAAACGCCTAAATTTTGCTCTCGAATATAATTATTTTTTATCAGCGCTTGTCTAAACTTTTATCCTTGAGGTTTTTATTTTTCTTACGAGCCCAACCCAGAACCCTCACAAAACTTCCAAATTCAAGGGCTTATAACCAAAGCTTTGTCTTAATAGAAAAGGGCAAATATCCACCACGGCTTAGGTCGGTCACCGAAAAAATTCCTTTGTCACCAAACATTGTTGTTAGCTCAATATAATCATTGCCGTAGCTTAATCTAAAGTCTGCATAATTAAAACTGAGAATATTACTTGCCACCCACTTCCACCATGTAGAAATTCGCTCTAATAACGCTGATGAAACTTTCCCCTCGGCTAAGGTTTACATAAGGTTTTCAGTTATTCTTTACAATTCTGAGCGGTGCAAGGTATTGTTAGGGTAGATTTTCTTATCCCAGATTATGTTGACATGAAAGAAATGAGTGGTGGCTGCAAAGCCAAATAAAATTCATGCGATAAAAATTTATGTAAATTATTTCAACTGCACGTGTGCTTGTCTGCTCGCCTCCTCAATGACGGATCTAGGAACAGGGCACGCCCCACCCCCACCCCCTCTCTTTAGAACAGGCGATTTACTTTTCCCCTTTTGTACAGTACTTGAGTTTCCGTGTCGTTTTGAGGCCGTTTCATAGCGTTTCCGGAAAGTTTTTTATATTTATGTTTTTTTATACTCAATTCCACATGACGTTTACAGCTCCCTTGGAACCTGAGACACCCGTTGCTAGGGATAAAAGGATTTAACAGGTTCAGTTAAAGAAATGCAGGTACCTGTTGATTGACATATTTTCTATTCGCTTACGTCACCTAAGGGTCTGTGCATGATATTCTCAAATAATTTAACAACACATTTAGCTATTTTTCTTCCCGAGACATTTAGAAATTCTCATATAAATCAATTGGATTAAAGCTTCATTGCTAGCTACAAGAAAACAAACTAGTTCTGATTTTTAATTTTATTTTGCCATGAATTTAATTATCAAGTTGAAAGTGTCGAAAAAAAGACTATATGGTGCGAGTCATTCCTTGAGGGGTTTTACATGGTGGAATCCCTGTATCAAATATTATAATTGCAGTTTAAATGTAGAATAATAACGAATCAAAAACAGAGTAGAAATTGATTTGAGCTAAAACGTTTACTTTAATTTACTTATAATTATAAAACAAAATTAGTCTAAAGAAAAAATGTAATTTTAACCCTCTGATTAACTTTCGTTGATGGCCTTTGATTGCTCAAGGTCTAATTTTTTTTTCGACATGCAAAATTTTTATCACAAATTATGCTCTGCAGGCGGCTTACATTTAAACAGTACTTTAAACCTTCATAAGGCGACAGTTTTTATTTGAGACTATAATTCACATTTGTCATTATTATTATTAAACGACTAGACAAAATTAAGTACCGTTCCCAAAACATCGATCTTCAAGTTTCACAGTAACAATTGACTGTGGCAATCCAACGCGCGTAGCGGATTCAGGTGCCTTTTCCAAATGAAAGCAACTATCTTAACGTGCTATTAAAGCAAGAGGATAATTTTAAAAAATGTAAAATCACAACAGGTGATAATTGGAGCATTACTACGGTTGAATTTTTTTAAAATCATTTCCAAAGGTGGTTATGAATTAATTCGATCGCTTCATTCAAATTTCTCTCCTGATAACGGTCCTTTTTTTCTTTTTTTTTTTTTTTTTCGCTTTCACAGAAATGGAAAACCTAAATAAAACACGTCATACCTAAGTTTTTTTGCTGCCAAGCAAAGAATAACCGGAAAATTTGTTAAGAGTCTTGATTTTGCCTGAATGGCCGATAAGTGTTGTAAATCATATGGTAAAACACAGCCAATTCAATTGTTGAAATCCTCTGCCGTGACATTATTGTGAAATTAATTATTGTTTACTTTAAATAAATGATTTTAGCGATCTTAGTAGTAAACAATTCTTAGCTTTCGCAAAAAGAAGTTTTAAGTTGTTGAGTTAAGTGGTTAAATAGAAACGGAAAGGGAGTCAGTTTTATCACAGAAAAGGACTGAATTTAAGCCCCCCATGTTTATCTTGTATAGGCAACCAAGTTTTCTGAATGACGTGTTCTGATTGTTTTATGAACTGGGATTGCCAGTTTTGATTTCAATTCAACTCTCTAGCTTTTTCGCACGTGCATAGCAATCGTAAGAAACCCAAATTATGTTTAGACCCATCGTAATTTGAACCTATACCCGTGCTCTATGATATTACCACGCTACCCATAAAACAAAGTCGTTTTTAGAGCATGTGTCATTGCCATGTTTGGAAATTTATCATGAATATTTATGTCTAAAGTTCCATCTACCTGCAGTGTTTACGCGCTTTTTGCGAGTGGGGGTCGACCGCAAATGGTAGCGGAAACAGAACTAACCAATCACAAGCCTCATTTACCGGCAATTTTGCTTACAGCAAAGGTGTGTCGACTAGTAAATCTCAGCAGCTGCTAACTTAGCGCCATCTGAAAACAAAGTTCATCAGATATTTTTTACTGATTTCATTTGTTTGTGGCTAGTAACAGAACGCCAAGGAACCAGAAAACTCTGAAGTTCAACTCAACCTACAAGTTAAAGTTACAAGGACAAACAGTTTTCTTTATGTGACCGCAACTGTATTTTTGCAGACGTTTCCACTAAGAAGGTTCCAAGTTTTGTAACCGGTTATGTAGTGTAAAACTAATGCAACTCGAAGTAAGACACCGAGATTTTCTCCGAGGCAATTAGCAAGCAAAAGAGTGATCGACAAAAGCGATACCAATACACGATAACAAGGTTGCAAATATTCTGAAGTTTACATATTGTGTTCTACTTTTACAATGTGGCTATCCTTTATCACCCATTTGGGCGCGTTGGTAATTTTGTTACATCTAGTAATTGACACTGGCGCGGAATGGAAGAATCTTATCGAGGTGTACGTACCGGAAGGAAAACCAGAAGATTATGTAGTTTACAGTGGACTACCGTATCCTACTGGAGGAGTGGAGTACATGCTATTTTACGCGCAGAAAGGGGACGCGCTTGACAAGGTCGGTTTATTCAAGGTCTCTAAAACTGGTGTTATCAGAACAATTCAACCTTTGATTTACGAGAAGGGAAAACCTAACCAGTACGATTTGACCATAGTTCGAAGATCTTCCAAAGAGGCAAACGGAGGCCTGGCCACAACAGTGCGAGTGACGGTACAAGACGTGAATAACTTCCCGCCAGTTTTTACCTACGGTCTGTACAACGGACACATCAAAGAAAACTCTCCCGAAGGAACTGTGGTTATGGGCTTGGAAAATTGCTACGCTGGTGACCGCGATAACTCAGGTGTAAGGGATTATAAGATAATTAAAGGAAACGAGAAAGGTTATCTTAGGGTTGAGAAATATGACGTTGGTGAGCACAGTTTTTTGCAGTTAAAAGCTACCGATCGACCGATCAAGCGAGACACGAAAAAACCTTTTTTGAGGTTGACTGTTGAAGCAGAGGATATGGGCAATCCGCCAAAAGTGGCACAAACTACAATCGAAGTACTGATTGAAGAGGTGAACGATTATGCTCCTGTATTTGATAAAAACAGCTACAAACGAGAAATAAGCGAGGATACTCCGGTTATGATGCAAGTTCTCAAAGTGCGAGCTACTGACAAAGACGAGGGAATTAGCGGTCAGGTTTATTATTTCTTCCAAACATTGTCGAGCTATTTTACGATAAATGTCTTTACAGGTGCAATTATGCTGGTGCGTGAGCTGGACTATTCACAAACAGACCAGCGAGTACACCGGTTGACTGTCGTCGCACGGGATGCAGGAACACCCAGTCAACAATCCACGGCTACTGTTACCATCACTGTCCCCCTGGATATTCCCAACTTCCCTCACCCGGCTTCCACTACTTCCAACCAAGAAAACGCAGCACCATTTTTTCCTAAAGCACCGTACCACTTTACGCTTCACGCATCGTTTCCCATCAGAGGTAGTCTTGGTGTTATTTTGGCAGTAGATGAAGATCCACCGGGATCCAACAGTGCGCTTCGTTATGCACTGCAAACCCCCTCTAGCGATTTTACCCTGGATTCCACCAGCGGTGTTCTGACAATTAACAAGGAACTTGACGCGAAGACATACACCTTGTCCGTAAAGGCTGAAGACCAGGGTAGCCCACCAAAAAGCGCTGTGGCACAAGTTAAAATTGAAGTAGAATCCATAGATAATCCATTCAACTATCCTACCTTTAGCAATCCTATACAAGAAATAACGGTCCAAGAAAATATTAAAATTGGCACATCTGTGTTCACAGCTTCGGTAATCTCCGACGCGAGCACGAACAAAGGCGTAGTGTATTCGGCAATATTCGGTTCCGCGCTGCCATACTTCGAGTTGAACGAAGAAACGGGTGTATTAAAAACGGCCGCAGCACTCGATCGAGAAAAGCACGGCGTGTATGAATTAATGATAGAAGCAAGAAACAAGGACAAAATTCCTCGCCATTGCCATCTGTTTCTGATGATAAAAATTGCAGATGAGGACGACTCATACCCTGAATTTACTAAGCCAGTTTATATCGCTAGTGTACCCGAGAATAGCCAGAAGGGTACTTTTGTCACTGTCATCCACGCCATAGATCATGACAATCCTTCGATATCTTACGATCTTTCCACATCGTCTTCCGAATTTCAAATAGAAGCAGGTACTGGAGTAGTTAGGACGAAAAGAAAGCTGGACCGAGCTATTGGCGACAGAAAATTCCTTCTCCATGTCACAGCAAACGATGGAGGGGGAAAAACCGCGCAAGCGAATGTTGATATCAGTGTCACCAGCGCACACGACTCTAGTCCAAAGTTTACTCCGGAAAAGTACCAGGCCTCCTTGCGAGAAAAACAGGGACTGTTTCCTAATTTGTTGTGCATAGCTGCGACTGGAAGTAACGGCGCAGTGACATATTCGATTAAATCTGGAGCCAACGAAAGATTCGCCATTGACAGGAATACAGGTAAAAAATGAAAATACCTTTATCAGGTTATCCTAGTCGAGAACAACCTGTGATAGATCATCTAATTTCAAGGTCACTCAATCCGCTGTAAGTTATATTTCTTTTTTTTTTTTTAAACGACTTTATTGGGCATATCAGATAAATATTTGAACAAGGCAAAAGTACAATAATACAATAACAAATAGAAAACAGAAGAGAAACTGTGATAAAACTGCACCCAAAAGGGAAGGCGCGAACGGGACGTAAAGTCCCATGCGAGGCGCCGCCCATTATGAATTAAAAAACACTATAAAATAGAAGATTACAAAAATACAAAATAAATAAATAAATAATTTCAACTTAGTGGCACGAGCACGTACTGGCTAATGTCCGCGTGCAGGGCCAATCAATGTCATATATAGTTTTTAGGCGGTCTAGCATTACATTACGGACAGATTTCTGGTACGAACCTGGGTTGTCAAAGCTGGCGAATGGTAAGACGGAGCAAGTAAGGTTCCAGAGTTTAACAATGCGAGCTATTGGCGAGATAACTCTTGATCTTTCTTTTGCTACCATAGAGCTTATTTACTTATTTATTATTTTCTTTTTTGCCTTTTTGCGTTGGTTTTCCTCATTTTTACTGGACTAATTTTACTTTTAACAGACCTACTAGGCTTGAATTATGATAATGTGCTCTTGGATTGAATGCCTTATAACCAAAACAAAATTAATCGAAAGGTTACTTGGAATAACCATTCCATTGCGCATCCTGTATTGCGCATAACAATCACGTCATCAGGCGGATAAGCGCACGCATTCCGAGAAAACGGTATTGGTTTTTGGTATGATGATCCTTAACTCTTGAACGAGCACGGTGACCTACATTTTTATTGCATAATTTCGGTGTACAAATTATCATCTTCGAGCTGAAGAAATTAAAAACAAAATTATCGAAAGGAAAAAAGATATGGCTAAAAGCGTGCATGAAGCCGTTACTGATACAAATTATGACCTGAATGCAACGACGCGAGGAACGATTTGAGTCGATGTCGTTTGATATTGGGAAATTTTTTTCACAAACTATATTTCAAATTGTTCCATTTGCTCGAGACTTTCAATCTATCAAGATTTTTTTAGTGTTGATTAAAAACCCTTGCCCCCAGCCCCCTCAAAATGTACTGTGAAACGATGAAGTGACGCGTGTGATAAGTGCCAGCACAGGCATAGATGGGGTAACACTGGCCCATCATATCTCCTAAACAAGCACTGTGACCAGCCTTTTTGAATGTACTAAGTTGAAATGGTAAATTGGCCACCGTAACGATTACAAAAGCTGACGTTTCGAGCGTTAGCCCTTCGCTCCCACGAAGGGCTAACGCTCGAAACGTCAGCTTTTGTAATCGTTACGGTGGCCAATTCACCATTTCAACTTTGTTGATATATCCAAATTATTTCGTTAGCCCCAAACAGTTTCTTTAGAAACTATCAGCCTTTATTTTTTAATGTACTGTTCGAAATAGATATTAGTAGGGAACATTTAAGGAAAATTTTTAAAAAAATTGTTTCATATTTTTTCTTCTGAGGAATTACCTTAAAACGGAAGAAAGACAAGGTATTTAAAAAGAAAACGGAAAATTAAAGAAAACAAAGGTAGCCGTTATCAAACACGGGAATATACAAGTGAACCTCAGCGATTGGTTTGAATTTTGCATTTGACTGGTTAAGAAGTTAGCCCGACTCGCGTGACTTAATACAAACGGTTTAGAGGAGCAAGAATTAACAATTGGTTCATGCTTTAGCGTGCACTATCTAGTTATGGAGCACACGGGAAGTTTGGAGAGCACGAAAGAGGCGTAAGAATTGCCCGAGGCAATAGCCGAGGGTANCGGAATAACCTCGAAAGAGTTACAAATGTTTGTATCCATTATTGTCGCGAAATATATTATTTTTCCCCGCGCTAACAATGGCCGCTCGCGTGGAAAAAAAAATTCTGGCGAAGCGATTTGCTGACGCTATCAGCGTGCACTATCGGGATTTTGAGCACGCTTACATATATTGAATATGATTGCGCGGCTCTGCTAGCTATGTTCTATATTGCAATTAGGGGACATTTGCATTTGGCGGCTGTATCAAAAACCTCCCACGCACGCTTCTCCTCAACTTGATCACTTGACACTATTATGACTCTGAGGTTCAACTGATTATGCCTCGTCCAATAAATATTACGGAATTCTGGAATAAATTGTTGGCTTTTTAGTTTTGATTAGAATAGCTTGTAAAATGATAAATCTAAAAGCGATTCCGAAAAAAACCCATCATGTTCCAATTGAAGAATAATTATCCTTTCGTTTGTATCTCGTGGCAATAAAATATATTTTATCATTTCGAGAGAGAGGACTACTGTAAGGCTATAATTGTGCTCGCGATCAAATTGCGATACAAAACAAGATAAGCTAAAAGTAGTAAAAAATTAAAATGCTTTCTCCCTGAAAGGCACCGCAATAAAAATGATTAAACAGAAAATTCCGAGGGTGACTGACGAAAGAATGACATTAAATTCTCGCTGAGACTTTTAAAAATCGGCGGTAGAAACGAGCGCTAATGTCAAATCAAGTTAATTACTTCACAAGTTATGGCCAGGAAAAAGAGCCAAGATATACCGTCAGACACAAAAAACGATCTTAAGAAACATTTTGCAAAAGTGATTTGGGTCTCAGCTTATTTCTTAAAAGCAACTGGCGCACAGTTATATCAAATACAGGAGGTGGCAAAATAATCCAGTTTTCTAACTTTGATTAGAATAGAAGAAGTTTGATGAAAATAAATTGTCAGGTGCTACATGTGTGACGAGCTACAAGCGCAGTAAACACGAGAAGTAACTAACGGCTAACTTACCGAAAATAACGGCGAATGTATTCAAAATTATCGACTTAAATACAAGAACTCACCGTGCTTTGTCTGGTAGACAACATTAGCAACTGTTTCAAAACCACAGAAGGCTGATTGAAACCTAAGAGCATTATCTTTAAACTTTTCCTTCTAATCGTTTCATTGAATACGTTAAAGCTAAAGGAAACAGCAGAGTATTGTAATACGCGTCACCAAGCGAAAAGATGCCGCAATTCTAGCGGGAATTGGTCTCTAATAATTGTCTTCAATTGACTGTTACTTCATTTCTCATTTGCCTCTTTAATTTTCATCTCAAGGGACCTTGTCTGCTTTGGCTTCCTTTGACCACAGGACCGAAAAAGGATATGTGCTTTCAATCGTAGCTGAAAGCGAAAGCTCCTCAAAAACGTCATCAGCTTCAGTGACAGTATCAATAACAAACGAGAACGGCCCGCCGAACTTCGTCAAGAAAAGCTATGAAGTTGAAACTCAGGAAGATGTGGAATTTGGAACAACTCTACTAATTGATGGCGATGGGTTTCGTTTCACCACTGACAGTAGGCCCGCAAACGATTTTGAATGTTCACTGGACGACATCACAAGTACACAAATACTGGATCACTTTCAAGTCAATAGAATAGGTTACGAATGTCAGGTAAAAGTTATTCGAGATTTTGTTCAAATTTCCAACCGAGAATTCACTTTTCAAGTGCGCGTTACAGACATCAAGCAGAGGAACCTGATTGGCAAGGCTGGCGTAACGGTTAAAATAACAGACACGAACGACTATGCCCCCGAGTTCACGCAATCCTCCTACTGGGTTTCCGTCGCCAGTGACACTTCTCAGGGAACCAGTTTAGTACAAGTGACTGTCTTTGACAGAGATACCCCTGGCAAAACTGAGTTTGTTTTGGAGCTCTTGTCCGAAGGTGCTGATGACAGGTGTGTAACTGTTGTAAGTTAGACCCACTATAATAATTAGAATAATGCTCCTCGATATCTCCCGTATGTCTCTTCAGTAGTTCTTCCGCTCGCACCCTTTACAACATACCCTCACTGTGCATATTCTCCATACTGTTCTCTTTACATTTCCAAAGGTGCTGACAAGGAAAATTTGTTTCACAACCAAGAGCTTCTTTAGTTAGTGATCATCTTCTTTATTCCTGTGACCTCAATGTTTGATTCAGGCCTGATATAACTGATATAACTTAGTATTTTAAGGAGAAATAAGAAGTAAGGATAGGTGGTATAACACAGTAATATGTTTTCTTGTCCTATTCATCCCTTCCCGAAAAAATATCATTGTCTTCAATTTCTTTTGGAAGGGAGAAATTAAAAATTACGTTCATGCAAAATTTAGGATGTAATCAATGTGTCTTGTGGAAATCCAAAAATACTGACACTTTTCAAACAATCAATTTAACATCGTGTTAGCGGCACACAACATGAGTTCGCTACAAGAATGAAATATTTGTTTATAGAGAAAACATAACAGACGGAAATTCTTGACATATATATCAAACATGGGAGGCCATTCAAACGGTGAAAAATTCACTTCCAACGTAACAGAATCTTGGACGATAATTTTGATAATTTAGCCGAGGCTTTAGTTACCTTTCTCACAACAGAATTTGAACTTTTAGCCTTACTTGTGAAAACAAACAATTTAATTTTAAGCCTTCTTATGTATATATGTTTCAAATTCAGTTTTCTTCCGTGGTGATTGTAAAATTTTGATCCTATTTTAAAATCGTAAAGCTGGTTCCACTTGTTAAATAGCCAACTTTTTCTTTTTTATCTTTTTACTCTTGACTCTTCTTTGACTCCTTTATACGGTCTATTTCGACAGATTTCAGATAGACAGCGAGGGCATAGTTCGCACGATTACATCGGGTCTACCCGAAAACAAAATGTTCAACCTCAAAGTCAAGGCGAAAGAAACAGGTGTGTTGATAGTTCAGCATTGACTCGTAGTGACCCTGATTCCAGTGTCTTTCAACATACTATGAATCAGACAGGCATTTATGCTTTGTTAAGTTGAAACGATATTGAAAGATATTTTTAAAAAATGCCGCTGGATTTGGTTTATGATATGTTTACACTCAGGGAAAAAAAAAGCCGTAATGAAACGAGAAGAAACCTTTTTGATAAGACGAGGATTTAACATGTGGTCCACTCACACTCCTAGGTAGTTGCCTTTCGTCTGACTATCTTTTAAAATCAGACAGACTCAGGAGAAGAGGTGTGCTCCCAAAACCATATGAACATTTCATCTCCACTGTTGAGAAGTTTATATGAAATTATGGCATTGAAAGTCCTTCAAGACTCCATAAGATAACTAATACATTCGAATATCTTCTTTAAATATGCTTCAAATTCCATAATAGAGAGAGCTATTTTGAAAATTTCCTAAGAACGAGGACTCTCATCCATAACCTGGCAAGGTTTCATTTTTTTTAATTATTTAAGAGCCGTTTGATCGACAAAGTGCATTCTTAGATAATAATGACTTCTTGCGAGTGAGAGCCAGAGTAACATCTGCTTGTGAACCACGCGTTGGAGATTTAAGTTTGATGCCTGGCTACCGAGTTTTTTTCAAATTGACATTCTACAAACAACATACGGGACGGTTAGTTTAAAATTACAATCAGAAAAAACCCTACGATCGTACGAGGTGGACCAAGGGGTGAATGTTTCAAACAATATCACTGGTCGCCAGTCTTGATGGTTACTTTCGTTCCTTTTCTATGGCTGCTCTTTGCAAAAACAACACGAGAAGTCATCCAAACTCCGTGGTTTCAATCAGATTTTAGTAAACAGGGTCCTGATCTCTGAATCTCTTTCATCTACTACAGGTAAACAGGGTCCTGATCTCTGAATATCTTTCATCTTCTACAGGTACCAATGTTCAACGAGAAAGCGAGGTGTCACTGAAAATCTCCGTGCCTAGCACGCCTTTCGTACCTGTCGAATTCAGCAGTAACAGCTACCTTAATTCTCTCAGTGAAGACGCTACCATCGGCGCGTCTGTGTTCACCGTAAGTGCTTCGCGATCAGGTTCAGACTCAGGAATCCTTACATACTCCATAGTAGGCGGAAATCTGGACAATACTTTTAATATAGATTCCAGAAGCGGGAAGGTGACCTTAGCTAAGAATCTTGATTATGAAACTACCACGAAGTACAAGTTGATCATTCGGGCAACTTTTGATTTCTCCGATGGAAGTATCCCGGATATTGCTGCTGAGGTTACAGGCCAGGTTACAGTGCAAGATATTAATGACAATAGTCCCAGGTTCCTCTTGTACAACCGACCGACTCGGATTGCCATTGAGAGCTATACACCAAGTGCCACGGAAGTGATAAAGGTAAATATATATTCATGTTATTGATTCGAACATAAACTAAAGGACAGATTTTCGTGACAAATTGATGCAGATCTCTCTTGTTTGCTGGAAAGAACTCGTTTGCATTAAAACACTGGAGAATATAACATATTTTTATATTCAACAAATTTTCGCTGGAGAAGAAAGGCTACTTTTACTGATATCCGAGACAAAGTATTCACTGAGCCTGAGATAAATAATGTTTTCGTATAATCTTTCCGCTGTTATAAGAGCAAAGACGTAAATTCTACGTTATTTCGTTGTCTCCAGCTTGTTAGGCATCAGAGAAAACTGTGTCTTCACTCTTTTGTTTGTAATGTAATTAAAAGCAAGTCGAATCGCCTCATTTATTTTTCCATTCAAAAGCTACTTTTGAACGTGGTTTCTTTGCGCTTTAAGTGCGATTCAAATCTAATTCTTCCTCAGGTGACGGCAACAGATGAGGATACAGGAAACTTTGGCTCTGTGTCGTACAATATTCATGAATCCGCCAGTAATCCATCCATCGACATCCCATTCTCCATTAACTCAGTCACCGGCTCACTCAAGACCAACAGAGAAATCAAGTACACTATAATATAATTTATATCAATTATTAGTATAATTTCAGAGCTGAAAAAAGAGTTTCCAGCAATCTGATTGGTCGAACGGTTCCGTATATGACGCTATATAAACCGCTCCGCGCGGTTTATATAAACTGTTAAGATAAAATGTTAATAAATGTTACTAAAATGTTATGATTTTAGAAATTTCTCTGTTGTTCAGCTCTGGAATTATACTAAAACAATTATTCGCCTCAGGTTCGGTGAATATTGTCGAATAATCCCCTCGAATTCGTCTCGGGGATTATTCGACGATATTCACCTCGCCTTTGGCGAATAATTGTTAAATAGTCGTTCAGCTAATCGTCAGATCAACAGAAAAATGCACTTATTTGTACACGTTATATCGAGTCTGGTTTAGGACTGCTTATGCCTGCGTGTATTCAATGAACGAATCAACACTGAAAGCACTTTTTCCTTTTGACTGATACTTTATTCGAGATTCGAAAGCTTCAGGAATCGTATGCGACTCGGCCCTTAGAAGATGCTTTTCCTTCTCTGACTCATTACTTTTTTGATGTGTTAAGATTTTCAGAAGGAAGCTTCTACGCTATAGTAGTAAGGGCTGTAGACGGAGCCAGCCTAGAAAGTGCCGTAACCATTGAAATAACAGTTCTGAATATCGGCAAGCCTCCGACATTCAAACAAGAGGAGTATCTGAAAAGTGTCAGTGAGAACAGTCCCGTTGGTACCAGTGTAATCGACATAAAAGCTGACTATAACGACCCCACTGCCCCGTTGAGATATGCAATCATCAAAGGCGACTCCGACAACAGATTCTGTATAAACTATTTGGGCGTTATTAATGTGGCGCAGCCTCTGGATCGCGAGAAGGTGCCATCATATGAGCTCTTAGTAATGGTGTCCCTCAATAACAAAAACGATACCACCGTTGTCAAAGTTACCTTGCAAGATGCCAATGATCACGCACCATCATTTGAGAAGTCAATTGTAGTCATAGATGTCCTTGAAAATGAAGGTTTGTTTGACATTTGTGTATGAGAAAGCCTCATGCCATGCGAAGTTAGTCACAATTTCCGAGACACTTATTTGTACCCAACTTTCTCAGGAATGCCCCCAATCATGAAATGCCCTCCTAAGGTATGAAATGATTAGGTGAACCCTTCACATCGTGCTACATTTTCTAGCTCTTCGATGTCTAAGAACTAAGAACTCGGTTTTCGATTTCTTTTGTTTTTGTTCCTTTTTTGCCAAATAAATCCTATAACGCAGAAACCTGAACATAGAATTTTACTTATATTTTCATGAAAAAGGGATAAATTATGATTTTAAACAGTATTGCATCCAAACTGCTTCCAAAACTCAACCAATGGTTCCTAATTCTGGATATATAAGCCCCTGGAATTCAATAGCAAGGTTACAGCAGCACATGGCTCGTTCGCATCACAACAAATGCTAACGCCCGTAAATATTTTTTTCACATCAGTCAATCCCAGTTTAATACGTTTGACGGCAACTGACCAAGACAATGGTGACTACGGAAAAGTGACTTACTCCATCATTCAGACTGTCAGGAGCGACAGTAAGGAGCTGTTTGAGGTAGAACCCGATAGTGGTTGGGTCAACCTGAAGAAGCCTCTGGATCGCGAGAAAGCTGCTGAGCATGTGCTGTTCATCAGGGCACAAGACGGTGCTCGGCCACAGCCACTAAGCGGTAAGAGTCTGTCCTGAATCTGTGAGGTCCGTAAGACTGCCTTACCACTGCCTGTTCCTTAGTTAGTATGTGCTATTTGTGAGTATGAGATGAGCCACACATCGAGGGGAAACTCTCTTCGAAAAAACTTTTTGCTTTCTCCTTTCTTGGCCATATCCTGAGTAGGGACGTGGTATGGCTGCTGAGATTTGCATTATATATTTCATGGCTCGCTTGGTTTAATCTCACTACTGAAATCAGTCAAATCGAGTCAAATTCAAGGCGAAGGCAATACATTGAACTTATTCATTATTGATGTGTCTATTTTTTCCAGACATCGTCAAGTTAATCATCCGAGTAACAGACATAAATGACAATACACCACGATTCTCGACTTCCTCTTACCAAGCTTCCATACCTGCTGACCTCAAACACGGAAGTAAAGTAATCCAATTGTCCGCCACAGATCTAGACAGTGGTGTCAATAGACTGCTGTATTACACCATTAAGGAGGGCAATAAGGACAATCTTTTTGAGATAAAAAGTGACAACGGACTTATCACCCTGGGCAACAGGCCACTAGCATCTGCTCGTCAGGACACATTTACTTTAACTGTGGAAGCAGCCGATGAAAAAGACAGAAATAAAAAAGACGAAGCGATTGTGTTGATAAATGTGTTTCCTCCTGATGGACCCCCGCGGTATCCAGATCCTTCTTTAAGTTTCAAAACTCAGGAGGGTATCTTGGCCGGACAGAAGATCGCATCAGCAGCTGCAGCTACCACGGAGTACGTCATGTACACCATACTGTCGGGTAACGAGGATGGTGTGATTCAAATCGATCCTTTCTCGGGGGATCTGGTGACGGCTCAGGAACTCGATTATGAAAAAGCTGATAGGTACGAACTGCACATAATGGCGCAGGATATCAAAGGAAGGAAAGCTGAAGTCAAGATCACTATCAACGTTATAGATATCAATGACAACCGCCCGTTCTTCATCGATGAATTCAATGGGAAAGTCGAATATAGAGCCACTGCAGGCGCTCGTGTGGGCGACCAAGTGGCCCGAATTGCAGCATACGATCTAGACATTGAGTCCTCCATGAAGTACAAGTTATCCCCTGATGCAGAGGCGTACATTGATATTGACGAACAGGGAATCATTCGTGCCAAAAGAACTCTTGACGGTAGCATTCCCGGGAAGCGCTCAACTGAACCTCTGAGGACACTGAGTTTCAACTTAGAGGCTCGTGATGGTGCCAATCCACCGAATTCTGCAACGACATCTGTGCGCCTGGCATTTGCTAAACAACAAGCAGGGCAAGATACTTCGGCCTTGAGGGTTAGGGAGGACATGCCGGTCGGTAAGGTTTTCGCCATGACTCCTAGATACATTCCTGGTGGAAAGTTCTCCATCTTGTATCCAGAGGAGACCCCTTTCTCTGTCGACGAGGAGGGCAGAATTAAACTTAACACCGCACTCGATTTTGAAACTCAAGCGGTGTATACTCTGACAGTCCGAGAAGAAGCTTCTAGTTCCAGTGGCCCAATCTTCAACGACATCACCTTCGAGATCTCCGTCGTTGATGTCAATGATAACGATCCCAGGTTTGAATTGAGGCAACGGTACGGAACAGTGAACGGTAACGCTCGGGCTGGTGCTTCGGCATTGAAGCTTTACGTAACGGATGCAGATACTAGTGTGAATGGACTTGCAGGTTATCAACTTGTCACCAGTGGCGCTCCCTTTGGTATCGACCCGTTGAAAGATGTTCTAGAGGTTGACGGCCCTCTTATGAAGTCTCAGTACGATCTAGAGTTACTTTCATTTGATTACGGGATACCACGACGCCAGAACAGCCCATTAAAACTTCGATTAGATGTTGGGAAAATGCCACCGAGATTTATCGACTTTCACGACGATGGCTACAGGTTTGAGGTGCCCGAAGACGCCAAGGCTGGAACTGTTATAGGAAAGATCCAAGCTATTAGCGTCTCAGGTAGTAGAGTAGGATACAATATTGTTAATGGAAATTCGGATAACAGATTTAGAATCAACAGTGAAGGTGAAATCAAACTTAACTTTCTCCTGGACTACGAAACACAAGCAACGGAATATGAAGTGCAGGTGGAAGCAATCGAGATGATTCCATCTGGTCTTGTCTCTATAATCAATGTCAAAGTACTCGTTTTGAATGCTAATGATCACTATCCTGCGTTTAAACAAGGATCTTACACGGTTACTGTGCCAGAAAACAAGGCTCTCGGGAGCTCGATATTGACCGTAGCCGCTATAGACTGTGACTGTAGCCAGGATTGCAACTGCTTGCCAGGGCAGCTGAGCTACTCAGTGAAAGATACCGAGTATTTCACAGTGGACCCCGAAACTGGAGTCATATCACCGGCACGTTCTTTAGATTACGAAAGCCAGACAACACACGTGTTCCAAGTCCATGCATCTGATCATCTGAGGAATAAAACGAACGTTGCTTTGGCTTATGTCAAGATGAAGATTACCAACGTGAACGACAATCAACCAAGGTTTGCAAACCTCGAGTACAGATTCACCGTCGACGAAGATGCACAAGTTGGGATAGGATTAGCGGTGATCGAAGTTCACGACGATGACCACGATGAAATTACATATTCCATCGTCCAAGGGAGTGGTCCTTTCCAAATAAATGCTAAAACTGGGGTCATTTCTCTTTCACAAAAACTTCCCAGCAGTCCTTGGGAATATACGTTCACCATTCGAGCAACGGATTCAAACGGAGCCTTCGGCGAAGCAAAAGTCTTCATAACTATCAGGGACAAGAACAACAATCGACCCGTGTTCGAAAAGTGCAAGGATTCAGCAGTAACAGAGAATCTTCCCCTCGGACAAGTGGTTACCCAAATAGTAGCTAAAGACGCTGATAGTGGTTTAAGCGGAGAAGTAGAGTACAGTCTGGCATATGGCGATGAGTTCTTTGAGATTGATAATACTACCGGTGTGCTAAGAACCGCTGCAACCTTTGACCGAGAAGAAAAAGCCCAATATCAAGTAGTTATTAAAGTTGAAGACGGTGGCCATGGCCGAAGCTCCTCTGAGCGACTTCTTAGGTATTGCAAGCTGACGGTCAACATTGGAGATATAAATGATAACTACCCCTTTTTTCCAACGTGGAACTACAAAGGAAGCGTTTGGAATAACGCCAAAATAGGAACCTCAGTTCTGAGAATTCACGCGTTCGATTTGGATGCAGGTGTCAACGCCAATGTGGAGTATCATTTAGAACCTGATGATAAGTTCGAGATATCAGAAATGGGTGTCATATCAACCAAAGTGTCATTGGCATCTTTTACAGGAACAGTGACATTAACTGTCCTGCCTTCGAACACGGAGCCTATGACAGCGGGTGCAGATAATCCTACGGATCGGAGTACAAATATTGAAATCTTTGTCTCAGACCTTCCACCTCCGGAGTTTACGAAGTCAATATATATCGCTCCAGTCCAGGAAAATCAAGTTGCAGGTACGCGGGCAAAACAGAATTCACATTTCTCCCGTTTTCCTCCAAACATTAAAACATTTTCATACAAAAACTGAAAACGTATTTTGTTCATTTCCTTATGGTCAAGGTAAGTTTACATTGGTGGAAAGAGGTTCGTCATTAAGTGCATTTTGGTCAGATTTTTCTCGAGTTTTCATCAAAGTTCATAAGCATTTGTTGAAATTTTTTGTTTAAAGTCGTTTTTGAGTGTCATACTGGTTTACTTGGTTTCTTAGATATCGCGACCCGTAAAACAGTTCCAAGCATCTCGTTACGACAAGCCTAAAAGCAATGCCTTGATTCGATTTACTTTAGTCGGTTGCCATTTTTACAGATTAATCATCGTAACAACATGTAAGTGAAATGATTTTCAGCGGCTGAAAATATGATTCCAAAGTATGGTTGATTTTGCAATTGGAAAAGGTTACAATAATTGTACAAGACACGCTTCAAGGTCGACCATGGCTTTCAACATTTTCATGAGGCGTGGGAGGATTAGGCTGAACAAAACCAAGTTAACACTTTTCCATAAAAGATTTAAATTTGCATGGCTTAGCACTGACGCCCATCTTACTTATAATCTATCTGCAGATACGACAGTCCTGACAATTCAAGCAAATTCTAAAAACAACCAACCCCTGACTTATACTCCGTTATTCACTTGGCAATTTGCCTCAGAGTTCTTCCACATCAATCCCCAGACAGGGGAGATCATGACAGGTGGTAAGGCGCTTGATTATGAGAAGCTAAAGATATTTCGTATGCAGTTCAAAGCGTCTGAAAGCCAGATGCTTTTTTCCACTTGCCTCGTGGAGATTCAAGTCAATGATGTCAACGACAACACCCCAACATTTGGAACGGAGTTTTACGAGGGTAGGGTTCTAGAGAATTCTCCGCCTAATTCGGAGGTACTCCGAGTGCAAGCGCACGATCCGGACACTGGAGGTGGGGGACAGTTGACTTACTCCATCGTTGAAAGCGATACCACCGATGGAAAGTATTTCAGCATTGACTCCAGCACTGGCCTTATAAGAACGAAGGGGACATTTGACCGCGAGGCTGCTGATCAAAAACACTTCACTGTCTTAGTCGAAGCTAGAGATCAGGGAAACAAGTTCGGGAGAAGCTATGTTGATATCGAAGTCGTCGATGACAATGATGTAGGGCCAGTTTTTTCTCTAACTCAGTATTCTCTGAGCGTTAGAGAAGATGCTGATCTGGGTCATATTGTTCACTCCTTTACTGCGCAAGATAATGATGTAGGTCTCAACTCTTTAGTGAGTTTTTATATCTCGTCTGGAGATGTAAGACATGCATTTCATATGCAGACAGAATACTATCCCCAAAATGTTGGACAACTCATAGTCGATGATAAGCTCGATTACGAAATTGATAAGGAGTACAATCTGAAGATTATCTCTACAGACGGAAGAACAACAAGTCAACCGCCAGCAAGTGTTAAAATCGAGGTATGAGCTTGACCGATGTGAACTTGATCTGTGTCTACCCCTTAGAGTGGTTTTCAATTAAATAAAGTAGAATGCTGTCGTTTGCAAATAACAAAAACCACACACAATAACGACGAAAATCTGTGGCCTCCGGATACTGTTTTAGCCAATCGTCAGACGATCTCGTTTTTGCTTACATGGAAATAAACTATGAACCTCATTCCTGCCCTTTTTTAGTAAAATTTTTAGTAAAGTCTGAGTGTAAGAAGATAAAGAGAAGATTCAGGTGCCTTTATTATATTCATTCCACTGATTTATATACATCAGTGCAATGCTTATTAGCTCCACTCTACCTATACAGAAAATAACAAACGTTTAACTTACTTCCAGGTTATAGACGTTAACGACAATGCCCCGGTGTTCAATCAACTCCGTTATAATGCAGCTGTGGTGGAAGGCAGTCCAGGAAGTCTGCTCGTGGTGACAGTAACTGCTACTGACATCGACACGACTGGTGAGACTATTTCTTATTCTTTGGACAAACAGGGCGAGATGTTCTTCACGATTGGTCCAGAGAATGGAGAGATACGTACCAATGGAAGACCGCTGGACAGAGAGGAAACGCCTGTGTTATATTTTAAGGTCCAGGCTAATGACGGAGTTTTCATTGGATTTGCTGGAGTAAAGGTGGGAAGTATTTTGGTCTAAAATGGCGATAGAGATCTAAAACACAGCAGCGACGCTTGAGAAACAATTATTGACAAACATCACGGCTTCGAATTTCCTATCAACACTTTTAGCTCACATACACTGAAATTGTGTAAACATGCTTGGTTATTGTAATTGTTGAAGTCCAATGATGGTTGATAGAGGGTGTAATTCAGTAAAGATATTGTAGTTGGTGTGCTGTGGTGGAGCTGGTAAACGGGCATCCAGTCTTTTAAAAGCATACCTTTATTTCCTAATTTTCAATACGCCCTTTTCATTCTTCCAAATTCTCTTTCAGATTGTAGTTCTAGATGTCAATGACAAAGCACCCTACTTTCCAAGTCCTCCATATATTGGTACGATCGACGAAAACAAACCTCCGGGCACAAGCGTTATTTTCGTGCAAGCTGTCGACGAAGATGACCCAAAAGAGAATGGGAACACCGACCTAACCTACTCTCTTGATGACGATAGCGACGGGCTCTTTGTGATTGACAGTACAACTGGGCTCATATCCAATACCATGACCTTGGACAAAGAAGGGGACCCGGACAAGTACAACGTCACCGTGAGGGCGACAGATAATGGGACTCCGCAACAGCTTAGCGGCACAACAGTGGTGACTATCAAAGTAGTAGACGCCAACGACCATAAACCGGTATTTGAACCTTTGGAGTACAGAGCTTTTGTCCCGGAAAACGCATTTCCCGGATATTTCGTAACACAAGTTAACGCCACGGATAAAGACGTGGGCTTCAACGCTCAGTTTGAGTTTACCACGGTGTCTGGCAACGATCCCTACGCGTTCTACATCAACCCTACAACCGGTGTGGTATTGGTGTCAGGAGGGTTAGACTATGAAACACGACAGAGTTATACTTTGAAGATAAATGTATCCGACCGAGGTATCCCTCAACAGACTTCTTCAGAGCTCGCTACCGTGTTCATCACCATAACAGACGTAAATGACCATCCTCCGGTCTTTGTACCAGATACGTACAGCATTTCTGTGAACGAGGACGAACCCGTCGGCTTCTCTGTATTAAGTTTGGTGACTAGCGATCTTGACAAGAACATTGACACAAGGCTGTGGTTCACGGTCGAGTTTGGAGACCCCACTGACAGCTTCGACGTCAAACCTGATCCAAACAACCCTAGTATCGGTATCTTATACATAACTGCTCAGCTAGACCGAGAGGCAGTTAACAGTTACAAGCTGGAGATAAAGGCCGAAGATGCTGATAAACTCTTTGCTGTTTGCTTCGTGACCATAACAGTACTGGACATCAACGACAATGGGCCACATTTTATCCTTCCTATCTTATTCGGCAGCATCGTTGAAAAAGTTTCTACACCGCAGTTTGTTGTGACGCTTAGTGCTTCTGACCCGGATGAACCGTTCAATGGACCACCGTTTGAATACAAGATACTCAATGGCACGGTAGACGGGAACTTTTATATAGAGCCAAGTTCGAAGACCCCTACCACTGCCGATATCTACTCATCAGCTTCGTACCAATTCAACTACGAAGAGAAACAAGAGTGGAAACTGTGGGTGCAAGTAACGGACTCTGGCAATCCAGCTATGTCGAACATAACTGTAGTCTACATCGAGATTAAAGATTCCCTCAATAACAATGCCCCTTTTAACGCCACAATGACGATCATTTTAAACTCTTATCAGGGAAGCTTTGCAGGGGGAGTTATAGGAAAAGCTTACTACAGAGATAACGACTTTGAAGTGGATGAAAGCGGCTACACAATTACGACGCAGAATCCAGGATCGTTTTTCACTTTGGATACAAACACAGGCCAGCTCTCTGCACCGGCAAATATTCCTGCGGGTAACTACGGACTTTTCGTGCGCGTAACAGAAAAAAACAGAAATCAGGCATCACCACCCAAAGTTGTGTTCTCCGCCATAAATGTTATGGTCAGAAATATTTCAAAGGCTGCAGTACTAAAAAGCACCACAATACAGTTTGTGCAAATCCATAAAAAAGCTATTTTTGTTGGTGATTACTACTCGAAGCTTGTAGGGGTGCTTCAAGAGATTTTCAGCTACAATGGCGGAGACTTTATTATACAATATTATGTCCATATCTTCAGCATACAAACTGATACAGATAACCCACAGGCTATAAATGTCCAGTTAGCGGTAAGCACCCCTATAAACGAGTTTTGGAGTACATCGGATATATTGACGAAACTGATAGAGAAGAGATCTTCACTTGAAAGTATCGGTAAGATTTAAGTTGAATTAGTTTTGTTTCGAATTTTCAGCATTGGTAATAGTTCTATTTGTGAACATGTCTCTTTCGTTTCAAATGTTCCTTTCACATTTCGCTTTTTTCAGGGCTAACTATAAGCGCCATCGGTATTGACACATGTGCAAAAGAATACAATAAGACTGGTATGTGCCAGAACGTGGTAAACGCCTTCAGAACATTTACAGTGATCAGCGGCGACTATGGTAAATTACCCGCACCTGACACCTCTCTCACATTTGTATCAATCGACGTGAAACTTGAAGCAAAGTACTTCTTCTTTGAGATTAAACCTGTCGTAAGATGCTCAGATAAGCCTTGTTTGAATGGCGGTATATGTCATGACGTACAACCAGAAGGTAGGTAACGTCTTTAACCAATGACTATTATTGGGGGTTTATCGCTTTGCCACAATGTAATGGTGTGTCCCACGCTTGACAGGGAAAGAAGTGTAGGGGGAAACACAAGGCGCAGTTAAGTGTTTTTTCCTACTCTTTGGGTGCTTAAGATGCTTCCTACGTGGCTTTACAACAGAACAGAGCACAGTCAAAGCTTCTTTATTTGTTAAACAGTTAAATCCATCAATTTCCCCCCTCGCTGCTTCTATTTTCAAACAATTTCTAAATTATGACACAAAATTTGACTTTAAATTAACTGAAAAAAGCTAGTCCGGCAAATGGTCGGACATTGTAATTGGCAGATGGCGTAACAGCTTTAGCTCAGCTCCGTGTTTTGTATCCTGATAAAGGACGCTCTTCCAGCCAATAAAAGCGCGCGTTATATCCGAACTTTATTATAAAAAGAAATAATCAATGAGAAGAAAAATTTCTTCAAATTTTATCGCTTTCAATGTCGGGTCTTGCGCGCTTGAGATCCGACGAGCACCCTGGCACTAATAAAATTGCCAAAACTTAACGTCATTTTCCGTTCTCTCTAATTCTGAAGTACGTAAAGTTGATACGTACATTGGCCGATTTTACAATAAAGCAGTCAAAGACTGCAGAAAAGAAGAATTCTCAAAACTACATTTTAATTAAATGCAGATATTTGACACGTAAAGTGTGTTTTCCTCAGGGGTTATTTGCCAATGCAAGCATAAATACGCTGGGTTAGTTACTGGACCTCTTTGTCAAGAAACGACTCGCACCTTCGAGGGAGGGCTGGGAGAATCATATATATGGCTCGAAAAGCTTGTGGCATACGACAGGAATGTTGTACAGCTGGAATTCACCACAATAGTCTCAGATGGGCTTATTCTTTATCAAGGGCCATTACTGGAAGGTAGGCTTTTTTCAATTAATTATTTTGCAAAACTCATTGGTGCAGAAAGAATCAAATTAAAAAATCATAGGTGACATAGTTAGTCTTGTTCTTTAATCCTTTCAACTTTATTGAAGTACAAGACGCACTGCGGTTAGAAACATAACTAATGACCGCCCCCCGGTTAGCTCAATTGGTTAGAGCGCCGGATTGTGTTGTGCGGGAGGTCGAGGGTTCGAGCCCCGGCCGGACCAATACTCATGGTCTTAAAATAACTGAGGACAATTTGCTACCTTTCTATAATATCAAGAAATGGATAGATATCCTAGTCTTCTCGGATAAGGACGAATAAACCGTAGGCCCCGTCTCCTGCAGGGTTAAGGGTAGGAGACGTTAATTTCCCACGCACGAGATAACTGTGTGGTGGATGTCCTCCCCTGTGGTGGGATGGGTGGGTGTTCACAGGGCCCCATTTAAACTAGCTATCTGCAAAACTGGCTAGCCTGTATAAATAATCGTAAATACATACATACATACAATGTGGTGCACTTCTCACAAAAATACGAATTCCGCTTCGTTTGCTTCAACAAACATCTTCAGCAGTGATTGTCAAGATGATTACAATTATCTTTAAAAGAAGTCTATATGACTTTCAACTAAGCGCTCACAGATCAAGAGAACAAAAGAAAAACTTAAAGTAAACAAAATTAATCAGATGGTGAAACAAAAAAAACTTAAAGTAAACAAATTCATCAGATGGTGAAACAAAGAAACAGTGTGCCCTTTGTTTCCAATTTTAATCTGATGACTTAATTCCCGCTTCACTGCAAGAAAAATTTGACACTTATTCTTATTTTCTTACTCTATTTTTCACAGTGGGCACTGGCCAGCCTCGCGATTTCTTGGCCATTGTGTTGTTTGGAGGCTTCGTTCGTGTCGTCAAATCTTTGGGATCCCAGTCTTTAACGCTAACACTGTCACGTGGTCCTCGACTGGATGATGGTCAATGGCATTCTGTTGAAGTGCGTCAAGAGTTGAAGGTATAACGTTGCATTAACAATGACAACATTTCATCAGGTTTACTTGTCGACGATAATCAGTTGCTCTTCACTTCTAAGATGAAATGTATTATTGAACGACGTTTTTAACGACAAGGTTTTTTTCTTAGCAGTTCAATTGGAAAGATGTCGCAAGCTTTTCTTTTTGAAGTTTCCTTGACCATAATCTGACTAGCCAGTATTCGAAAATAATACTTTACAAGGGCGTTCAATTCTTTGCGGTCGAATTGGGATTTGGAAGGTTAACCCAGAGAAGAAAAGACCCCTAGGAATAAATCAGAATTAGCAACAATCTCATCCAACGAATGAAGCAAGGTCCGCGAATCGCAACTAAGTAAGTCACCGTCACCAACATCTGACGCCAGGTTCGAGATTCGAACCCGGGTTGGGAGGCAAGGCTCTCTTAGCTGCGCCATTGCCGTTCAGCCCAAGTCAATCACAATGACTAACATGTAATCGTGTTTCCACAGAGGTTTACAGTTGTTATTGACCAATGCAAGAACGCACGTTTGATACAGCTTGGGGATCAGTTGGTGGAGGATGAAAGCGAATGTAAAATATCAGGAAATGTCAGAGAAACCAATGTGTAAGTGTTTTTACATGAAAAGGGAAAATTTTTACGAGGATCTGCAAAGAGTTCTCGAAGACTGCCGTAGGTTACCCTTACGTTTTGGAATGTAAAATCTCCGAGGGTTACTTCTCTTCCAAAGGTTAAAATTTCCTCTATTTTTAAGCCTACTCTTCTCTCGTAATTATTCTTTTCTTTCAGCTTCCTAAACAGCATTTGGCCACTTCAAATTGGAGGTGTGGAAAACCCGCAAGTTTCATATCCGGACCTCAATTACACAGGTTTTGTGGGATGCATACGAAAAATTATCAACAATAAACATATGTACGATCTTAAAAACCCCCTCAAAGTGGTCAACTCTCCCGAAGGCTGCACCAAAGCTCTCAGTAGTTGTCCATCTTGCAATGATAATGGATATTGCGAACCGTACTTGGAGAAAGACAGTGTTTGTGTCTGTGATGTGGGTTATTCTGGAGATGACTGCTCAACATGTAAATATAATCATTTCTTTTTTTTTCATAACCTCTTTGCCGTCGCCCATTCTGGTTTGCAGAGGGTACCTGACATTTCATACTTATTTTCCTTTTTCCACCTTATCCAGCAACGGTTGGGAATTACTACTTGGAAAACAGTTACTCCCAGTATTCCCTATCGGCCTGGGATTCAGCAGCAGCATCGTCATCATCACCTTCTTCCTTTTCGTCATCCTCTTCATTTTCATCATCGTCGTCATCTTCATCATCATCGTCATCGTCATCGTCAACCTCGTCAAGGCGAAGACGAGAGGTTGCACCAGCGCCCCAACCAATGACGAGTGAATATTTCACGAACATTGCCTTGAAAGTCAAAGCCTCGACAAGTACCAACACCAGCCTCGTATTCCTGGCCACGAACAGCCTTGGAACCGAATTTGTAAGAATTGGCGTAAGTAATAAATACATTCCAACTAATTCCAATTGCCTGTGTTTAATCTTTACTCAGAGAGAAGAAGATTCGATCAAGTCTTGTTCTGCATGTGCAAATAAACACATCGTTTGTGCTCAGGAAAATGTGTAGCTTTCTGTGAATATACACGAAAAGTAAGGCCGTAGAAAATCACCAAATATTAGTAACTTCAGTGCAGTTGATCTACCACACTTTCAATACTCAGAGGTATATTCCAGAAATCAATTTTTTCTTCTCCCCATTGAAAGTTATGATAAAGAGTTATTTATACAGTTTTAAATTCCAAAGAGTTTATCAAATATTTGAAAACTGTTTTAATATGAAAGGTTTAATCGACTGAAAACACCACCATTTTGAAACAGCTAGGCAACCTAGTGGTGATTGTAATTCCAAATAGCGCGGTTTACAAACAGCTCATACCCTTTCCATTATAGAAAAAAGTAAGCAATTGTGTCAATAATTCTGTTATTTTACGCCACAGATAAGTAGCCAGGTTACCAGGCAAGATTCAAAATTACGGCATATGAAGTCGAATTTGAAGTCAGTTTAACAAAGTTAAACAAACTTTGACTCTATCAAAATTACAGCATATGAAGTCCAATTTGAAGTGAATTTAACAAAGTTAACAAACTTTGACTCTCCGGTTTACAGATATTGAACCATGTACTTCGTTGTGTGTTCAGACTGGGAAGTAGAACAAAAGTCCTCTCACTTCCGAAGGTAAACATAACCGATGGTAAAACACACATTGTCAAAGTGGAAAGGATGGGTAACTACGCCACACTGCAGGTCGACTATGCGGGGAAAGTGGAGGGAAGTACGGGAGGAAGCAGCAATCTGATGAACTTTGGTGGCGGGGCTCTGTTTTCTGGTGGTACCCGCCGACTGACCGCGATGCTTGTGATGCGAGCGATTGTGAAAAGCAACGGAAAGGCTATTGTACAAACGGCAGACGGCGGCCTCATCTCGACTTTCTCGTCCTTCTCAGGGTCTTTGTATGGAGTGAGTTTGATAACTATCGGCAAAAAGGGTGGTGTTACGGTCAAAATATTGAAGAATGCGACACTTATTAGAATGTACCAGAAACACAGCATTCGATCTGTGTATAATTCGAGCGCAGGGAAAGTAGTTTTGGGAAGCGCCGGTGTAAGTGTTTCCGACATTCGAATTAGTAACAGCAGCGGACAGAGTGTTCATCAGATATTACAACGGAGGAATCAACAAAGTGCTGGAGGTCCGAAAGCGGGGGTTGGTTCTGGCGCCAACGCGGTGGTCACTGGGGGCAAACTCAGTTCTGTGGGAGAATATGGATCGACGCTTAAGCTCAAGCAGTCGACAGATGGAAAGAAAAATAAGTCGGACGTCGACGAATCTTACGCAGGTTAGTGTACTTGCTAAGGTCATTATAGCGACGTTTCCTCTCTTACTGGCCGTGGATTGCGTCATTTGTTTCAATAACCACCCCACGTGGTAATTATAACTGACAAAAAAAAAACACTGTTTTTCAAAACGGCAGCATTGCGATTTCTTTATGCTTCTGGAGAAAAAGCGAATAAAGTAAGATAGATTGCAAATGTTGTCGTAAGGTTTAGAGGTAATTTCAGAAATAACCATGGCTCCAGCGAAACTTTTCGAGTTTCATCGTTTATCTCACGATGTGGTGACTTCTAAGGTGGTTCGCTTTGTTCACCAAGTTGTTTTCAGCCCAAAACCAATGTGTTTGATACAGGCATGTCGCTATATACATCGGAAATGACATCATCAATAGTCAAAACATCTCACTTTATAATTTATGTGTTTCACTGAATGAATAACGCAACCTTTCTACCGCTTTAAATCCGGTTTAACCTGGGTTTGCATAGAATACACCAACTAAACCTAAAAAAAAACTTTGAAGAGAATAGAATAGAGCGATGTTGTGTTCTTGCACTGGTGAAGCCGACCACAGAGACAAGTTTAATTTCCCTCAAATTCACCCGTCAAATTCTCAGGGATCCTCTCTAAATTTATATTATCCTATGTGAACTGTTAGGTTGCATCCCACAAAATCGATTTAACAATATCGACATAGACCATGAAGGAAGTCCAGTGACTGTCGATCGACAAAATGTCATCTTTGGATGTCCTTGTGAAAAGGGAGACTGCGCCAACAACGGAACCTGTTTAATAGATACCACTTCGCCACTGGTGAATGTCTGTAAATGCGATGAACCTTGGACTGGACTTCGATGTGATATACTCGAAGAAGACCCTGGAGGTGGAAAAACTCAGCGTGAGTATTTTTCATGTAAATTTTGTAAAACATAGACATATAATATCTGATTCATCTCGATGAAAGGGTGTACTAACTTATATAGAAACGAAGAAGAAACGACTGGTGGAGCAAATGAACAAGCATGCAGGAATGAATGAGCAAACCAAATAAAGAGACAATATATATTAAAGGAAGGAATTTCTAAATATGAAGAGAAAGTGGGCCTCGATCATGGAGGAGGGAAATAATGAAATTGATAATCGTTGCAGCTTAGATTGAGTTAAAAGAGAAAGCCAAGGCTTAGCGAGTTGGATTCCAGTTGAAAAGATTCGGGTTCGCGCTCTGAGCTGCTCATTGTATTGTGTTTTTAAGCTACACAATTACGTGAATTAAGTGAATTTCTCCTCCTCGTGGGCGGTAGGTCAAAAACGGGATAGATTTCGGAAGAGGCTAGGAATAGTCGCTCTCTTGCTGTTTCTCTATTCTCCTGTTACTGAGGGGTGGAGGTTTCCTGACAAAATGTTGCAAGAGGTGGCGTAACTGCGGAAAACCCATTCTTGAGATAACAAAACTTTTGTTTGCTTCATATAACTAAAACTAGAATAATTAAGTTTTGGTGGTGTGGGTCCCTTTGCTCGTGAGCAGACTCATTTACATAATCATTGACTACTTCAGCGAAAACGCCTCCTCCACCATCGTGGAACTGGCCAGCCATATTAGCCGTCCTTCTCCTTCTTCTCATCGCACTGATCCTGCTTGGACTTTATTTGCTGTGTAAAAGATGTAGGGAAGATGCCACAGACACAGGAAAAGGACCAGCTAAGGCTGCAATGGCTCCCACGGGACACGGGACAGTCAGGTCCTACTCTGCTGGGGCGGGGGAGATGGATAGTACTGACTATGATCTACGCCATTTGATGAAGTACATGTACACTGAGAAGGTTGTAGGAAGCTCGGATCTTGAGCATGGCCATGAGCATGCCAATATCCGTGTGTACAGGGACGATGGTATCCGAGGCACAGATAATCTTCACTTTGACTTAAAGCAATTAACATCTCACAGGTTAGTTGTTGACTTTACTCAATGGACACTATTGAATGATGAGGAAAGCAAAGATATGTGTCACAGCGGTTGATTAAGTAACAACGTGATGTTATCTTCGGTCCTTTTGGAAAAGCGAAAATTTGCTCGAAGGGTTCTTTTTCGATAATCTTGTTAAGGAAGGCGAACACCAATTAAAAAGGAAAGGTACTAAAACGGTTTACGATGGCGACGACAAACACTGCCTCTGCTTGACGAAATCATTCATTTATTTATGTCCATCATTCCTATTACCTGCGGCCCTCAATCCTCGCGCATTGTTGTTGTTATCTCGTATTCACGACAAAAGTTGCCCTTTCCGTGAGAAGGATACTTCAGAAATTATATTGAAGACGACATATAAGATTATGACACTGACCGCGTCTTTTGGATCCCGAGGGAAATCTTACGTCTCGAAAATTGGTCGCCGTTTTTAATTCTGTTGCGCAGCCTTCCCACTTAGCTGTGACCTGAAAAAATCTCAGTCTCCCTTTGTCTAACTCGTAGCGAGTTTTAGAACAATTAGAGGCTGCGCGAAAGAGCATTCAACTCAAATATTGGCATTTTTCTTATAACAAACCAAAAGCTGTTGGTTAAAATCGCACTTTCAGGTTTTCCGTATGAGACCAGTTTACTAAGTTGTTTTCAAAAATGTGGCATGGTGACATCCTCAATCCTCAAGTTTTAGACAATTTTTCGAACTGTTGGTTTACTTTTTCGGATCTCAAAAGAGATAAAGAGTGAATTCTTAAAAATTTCTTCACTCTTACTCTATCGCAGACATGACGTGATTCAAGGTGGGACGAATGTAAACGAAACTCACTTGGGAATAGGTAACCACGGCTTCCACGGTTCAATGCCCGCGGTGACGTCACATCTTCACACAAAAATTATACGACATGTAGTACGCGCCGACAGTAAAGTGTCGCTGTCACATGACGAAGTGAACTCCTTTGAAGACGAAGGAGACGATTCTGACGTGGACGACTTGAGCGAGATAGGCAGCGGGGACGACGCGGATTGGGACCTACCGGAGGACTCTTGGGAGCATCATTTTGTACGACTTCATGACGGAAACTAGCCAATGGCAAAATGTCGACGTGACGTTGGTTTTTTTTAATATGTATATATTAGATACATTTTTACCTGATTATATGGTGGCATACAATACAGAAAAGGTGCGACACATCAGTTTCTCCGAAATATGCAGTAGAATAGCGGTCTCTGCATTTTGCTGTGAGCTCTGTCCTTAATTCAATCAATTTCAAAATTTTTTTTCATCGAAAAATATTTTGGATTGCAATAGAATCTTCACTCTATTGATGTATTTTGCGCTTAAACTGAATTCATTTGAATAATTACGATCTTGTTATTTTATAATTACTTACAGCGTTGCTGGAAAATTTAGCACCTAATCACCTTATACTGGATTAACTAGACAATCGGTAGTATTTTCCGCAAACTTTGAACTATAAAAAGGCAGTCCAAGTCGTTTACACCTATAAAATTATCATAGTCAAATCATTTAAGACGAAATTGTCTCACTTTAGATTGAAAGCTCACCATGTAATGGTCAACTATCATGAGTGTGATGTTTTTGTTGCTGATGCATTGTACGTGTTTTAGATACGATTTTAAAGGTTACATTTGAAATGTTTCCATTCTCACTTTTGCTGTAGCTTAGGGGCAACAAGCATTTCTGTCGGTGTTATCGCACATCTTAGGGTTAAAACACTTGTACGATTCGCAACTACATTCTTTTTTTTTTTATTTGTCGTGTTTTTCAAAATAACATAATCAATACAGAAGAATTGAGAACAGGTTTCTACCGTCACCAACAATTCTGTTAGTACTAAATAGAGTTGCGACGTCATTGCGAAACGTTAAGTTTAAACTGAAGAATATGTGCTGATGTAAAGCAATGACCCACAAAACTTTAGCAAAATAAACTTAACGCCTGTAGATTGCCTTACAGAATGACTTCATTTAGCTTCAACAGGCTTCAAGAGAAAATGAAGGGACAGATCGGCCCCAAGTCTATGAATAAATCAATTTTTCTAAGACATTCGCATTATAGCTGACCTCTTTTTAATTTCTTTCACTTATACTTGAAGGTTAAGTTTTCGTCTATGTTACCTGGGGATAACATCGAAATTTCCTCTCTCTCAAGCCCTTACTTTCAATGATCTTTTCCTAAAAAAAAAAGAAACATCTTAGTGGTGTAGCGTGTAGTCTTGAATGCTGACTTTGATTCATAGTTCAATATTACACGCGACATCCCTCAGATAATGTCACTCAGCTAAAATGTGTTCAATTCGCCCTGCTGCAGCTCCTACGACTTCCTAGAAGAGGACAAACGTTTATCATGATAAAGTTAAGTCTTCCTGTTAAAATCAAGCCATAGGAAATGTCTGATCCATCTTTTTTATTATTTCAGGGAATAACGAGATAACAAAAGCAATACGTCCCGACAGGCCCTTGTGAATTGAGTTATCCCGCGGGTCATGCTCTTCGCTAAAAAGCAACAAAATTAAAAAGCTAAACATGACAAATAAAAAAAAAAAAAAAAAAGGAAAAAGGAAAAAAGAACTGACAACGATAATAAAAGTCTAAAAAAATGTAAGCGCAAGGTATTTTCCATGGTTATTCCAGGAAAACGCGAACTTATTATTTCCTACCAGAAAAAAAAAGTAGGAAAAGACGCTCCTTGAAAAGATCACAAGATTTCTCCTTATTTGGCTTGTTTAGGCCACGCGCCACATCCGTATTAAACCTTAACAACCGCCGACGTTTCGCAGATTTATAAATTCATTGTTCACCAAGACACTTCAAAACTGGGTTTTAAGTAATCAGCGATAAACAGTATAATTTTAATCTTCTTTTGTCTCTTGTCTGCTCCGGGTCAGAATTTTCTTTCATCAATTTTCTTTTGACGTTTCACTATGCTTCGCTTTGACGTAGACAGTTGATAATTTTCAGTAACGGTTGGAAAATTTTCCTTATTTGCCTAAAGCTGTAATGACGTCTTTTTTACGAATGACGTCACTGGTCACGATTTTAGAAATGCTCTCAGTGTGCAAATGGTATATTGAACAAAGTTCATCATCCGTAAAGGATTTCCTGCAGTGCTTTGAGAAAAAAACCCTCCGTTGTACTAATTTTATCCGCGATTGAACCGTAGATCAATGATAGCGTGAGGTAGACAATTTGAATATATGGTTCGGCCAAATCGGACAAAGAGAGGTAAGATGTAATTTTTTTCTTTTCTTTTTTTTTTTGAACACAAATAATTGAGAACCATTTAATGAACAATGCGTTATGCATCCTCGGTTTGTAAAGCCTCTCTTACAATTGTCTGTTCTGAACTGTAATTGACAGAGAAATGCTAGCAGCTTTTGAAAGACAATATAATATATTTACAGCCGCCTGCCTACGTTTGTCAGCGATATCTGTAAAAAAAAAGCGTTGGTTACAGGATATGTTATCAATGTTGTGTTTCCTGTTTAATGACATTCGGTTGAATTTGGACTTGATTTAAAATCGACACAGACGGCAAACTTGACCCAGTGTGCTCACTTTCTTTCCGTCAAATCGCTATTAATTCTTTTCTGTCTGTTTACTGTAACCTACCGAAAACAAACAAAACTGTGTGACCATTTGGGATTAGAATTCAGCTTTTGATGATTTTTGCAATTAACGACAAAGTACATTCAAGGAACGACATTTAGGCAGACAAGTTATTCAGGGTCAAGTAAGGATTATTGAGGTTGAATACATGAATCATACAGTGATTCTTCAACAAGCTAAGAAACTTACCGGCTTTTAAATCTGAAAATAAATAAACAGTTTTGAATTTCTGAAAAAATTGAGGAAAAAGGGGAAAAAATTGTCATGATTAAGCAGGGTTTACAGCTCATACAGTCTCAAGGAGTGGCACTTTGAATGATCTTGGAGCCAAAGACGAAACTGAGCTCTAAAAAACTTTTTAACTTCTCCAAATGATTGTTTGTTAGGGTGAATAAACAGCTAACAGGCTAGGAAAAAAACAAGAAGGAAACTGCCACTGATCGTCATGGATGATAAATATTTACATGGATTGCAAATGACGAGTGTCAGATGATTTTTTTGAGCTTGTTACAGCTCCATTAAGAAGATAGTCAGTGATGAAGAGAATCTTGATATTCGATCACATCAGTACTTTGTCTCGTTAGAGAAGCTTAAAATATCTTACCAGGGTTCATCTTTTCTTCTCGTACCATTAATTTCATTACCTGTATGATTATGCAATCACACGTGTCTGGCCTGTTAGACTTCGAAGATATTTTGCTTGCATGTCAAACCTTTCGAAACAATGACTTGTTTAGCTATTTGCTGATACAATATGCTTCCATGATATTCAGTTTCCATGGTCACCGATTACATAGCCTGAGACTGTATTTGACATTTATTAGACATCCTCCTTTCAGTGACACAACACCCTCGACATCATGACAGCCCTTGTGAAACATTTAATTCAATAGCACTCAACTGACGTTAGACAAAGCGGCCCCATGCATGGCAGTATATGAAATGATTTAATGCACGTTTGTCTACGGTAATGGTGGCACACTTCGTTGTAAGTACAGAGTCCACTTTGATTCTAGTGTAGAACAAATGCTAGTTCCCTGTGAAAGTTAAATGGCAGTTGTATGGTTATACACAGGAGGCAATTATAAGATTCAAGATACGTCTGTTGCAAAGACTACATGAGACCGTCTCCGGATAACAATTGATATTTCAAAGTTTTTTGTAGTGATTCAACTATTGCTATCTTAATTCGCAAACGGTATGTTGTTCGTAGATCTCTCATGAGGCCTATGTGGATAAAAAAAATATAATCACGCTTTCACAATGCCAGAACGCAAACCTCAACCGTGCTACTAAGTGTGGATTTTCACACTTTATTGAATCAGTCTTTTTTTTTTATTTTGTCTAATATCCTAACTGGCTTATAGATAAATTGAATTGATTCATTTTTGTAAGATGATTTTTATAACAAAAAACGGTCACTACAATTTGAGCAAAGAATTATGACAACTTCGAGTCGCGACAGACATACTTCAACTGAAGCGGAACAATCATTCACAATGGTTTTGAAACAATCCGCGCAGACAATGAAACGAATAGTCAGGAAACAAAACAACTGCAACCTAAATTCCTGCAGCGGTTCACTGATTGGAAAGTACCAGATACTCTACCTCTTCCTAGAAAAGCAGTTGACGAGTTACTTTGCACGAGCTCAGCGTTGAAAAAATGTGTTTGCATGGTTCAAGTAAATAGTAAATGAACAAACTGCGTAGGATTAATTTAAACCGAAAAATAGCTTGGAATATCCCTAAAGGAACGACCTATATTTCTTTGGAAACATATTTTGGCATTGCGTATTCGTAAGTGAAACTCAAGCATGTTTGAAGATATATGAAACGCAATCATTTTCCTTACAGCCGGCGGTGACCAACTAATTAACTTTAGGAATCCCTTATGCTAGCACAATAGTCTGTGATGAATGTCTTCAAATCGGCTTCCAAAAAGACTTCTAGACATCTGAAAGAAGATATCGTTAGTTCAAATGTAGTGTTAGCGGCTTGGTTAACTGAAAATCGCCATTTTCCGCACCTTTTTTCAAACATAACCTCTGAAATCCATACTTTTTTTTTAGTTTGCGTTCAAAATCTATATTTGGTTCGCGAATCCATTGCTCCTTTCTATTGTGTAGTAAAGCTTCGATGCTGAAATATCGAACTGAATCTGAAAAATTCCTCCGAGAATTCAGCTCGAATGGTTACGTCTTTCTCTTCGCTCATTTATAGTTGAAAAGACAGATAGTTTTCTGGAAAACCATACACGACCTAAGAAACAATGTTTGAAATCGAAACTTCCTATTTTTGTACTGAAACAGCTCAAACCATACCTTTTAGAGGGACACATAGATGTATAGCGCACATTTAGAATTGCCCCCACTCCCCTCTGATAGCTAAGAAACAATATATAATCTCCCCGTACATTTACCTCTATTACCAAATGCAATAACAGCACTCATATCAGCCTTCTATTAGTCCATAAATTGTCCAAGAAGTATTTTTCTTTCGATTTAAATTAAGTAAAAATCTGATCAAATCTTATAAGTAAAGCTTCCTTCATCAAGCTGATTTTAACTGTTCTATTTGGAACTTCATTTACACCCCCTTTCAAAAACGAAAAACCGGCAGAATCGAACAGAACTGATGACAAGAAACAAAAGAAGAGTACAATAAAATGAAACGCTCTTCTCACCAAGGACCCTGGTTGGCTTTCAAATTTTTTCGTTTTTAAATTCGTTTCATTATGTTCTTAAACGATACAAATGGGATTGTCTGTTTGACGCGCTAATTAACAAAAACATTCCATGTTGCCGTGCGTCTATTCAGTAATTAAATCACAAAGACGTCAAAATGTCGTACGAACAAAAAAGTCAACACGAGGCGCGGCTGAATGTGTCACTATTTATTCCATGACAAAAGCCAAATATGTCTTCTATTTGTCTTTTCTCCAAGGTCCTCCAATAGATCATAAATAAGAACCAATCAAAATGCGTTCATACTTCAGCTTATCATATAAATCGAGAGAGAAGTACATTCCCTATGTTGATGCGAATTATTACCCAAACCACGGTTGCATTAACCCTTTAATTCCCAAGATCTGATTGCCTAATTCTCACCTCTAGCTGCTACACATTTCCTTGTATATAACTTACGAGAATTTGGTGTTAGATCAAGATAACAACTTCTACCTGATAAGTTTGTGTATTTTCATTGCCTGTTTGCTGCAAAATGTATGGATATAGGGAGAACGTATGATGCACGATCCTCGCAGTAGATAGCGCTATTTATGCAATAGCGAAAATCAGACCTAAAGTTCATATATTCGTTGTATCTCATTTATCACTTTCACGGGTTTATTACGAATCAAGTTAACGGCCTGCTCCCAGTTGGCTTGTTAGCTCAATTGGTAGAGCGCTGCACTAGTATCGCAGAGGTCAGTGGTTCGAGTCCCTGATTTTTTTCAGGTCTGATTTTCGCTTTTGCATAAATAGCGCTATCTAATGCGAGGATCGTGCATCATACGTATCTAATACCGCAGTTCAAATATATGAACTCCACATATTTATTGTATCTCATATAGGAAGAAGTTACACAATTAATCACCTCTGAGAGTTCAAGGGTTAAGAGAAATTCCGATTTGGATGTATAACTCCCAGGGTGAAGAAATAAACGTTTATAAGTGTTGACTTTCACAACCCACAAAACACACGAATAAACGGTTCTGGACAGTAAAAATTAGGGACCCTGGTGTTTTTTTAAAGCAGAGTATTGCATAGGAAGATAATTAACCATCATTGTTTGCGTTTTTGCTGCGTCACTAGTATCTTTGGCCAAGTTCCGGTTGCATAAAATGAGCTTTGTGTATCGATCGCATTTATTAATAAAACTACACGAGCATCCTTTTCACTATTTACAATGATTTCCGAACATTGAAAGAACAATAGAAACGCAATTCGATATTTCAAGAATTTCCGTTTTACGGAAAGCTTTCAGAAGAGTTATCACTCTTGTAACAAATTTTGAAAAGCTGTCTTTCTCTCTGATGTAATCATTACTGTAATTTCCTTTTTAAAGAGCAGTTCTGAATTGCTCTGGTCTGTTCTTGAGGATCGTTCGTTTAAAGCTTCTAAGGGTGAATATAGCGCTTTGGAGGACTCTAATCAGGTGAAACTAGACTTCTTCTATTTTATAGTAACTGAAGGTCCTAAATCATTGTACTTTTTGTTGTAATTTTTAGACTGTTCAATTGGTAAGTGTCTGCTCACATACATGTAGCTGCTTCGAAGCGGTTCTTTCTTTCGTTCATGCGTACTTTTGTGTTATGAGCTTATCAAATATCTTTTTCCTTAGATAGAGATTTTGAATAAGGTATTCAGTAAGTTCTGTTTCAATCAGTCATGCAAAACTTATGACCCCTAACCAACGGCAGCAAAGTGGAGTACCCGCCCCCTCCCCGGCGGGGAGAGAGAGCTTTGTCCTCGCACTTTCAGATTTACGCGGGTGGAGATGAGTTAATACGAGCAAAAAGAAAACTGTAAATGACCACTATGATAAGGGTGCAATCATTTCAGGCTACAAGGGAGTGTGCAGGGTTTGTTTTTCCAAGAATGAACTCTTAAGCAGTAGGTTTATGTGATACAGTTTTTAAAAATGTTGTAAATCAAAGAGAAGATATAATGCAATATGAAGGAAAAATATAATATGCCGTTCTAGAAAACAGGTTAATACCACACCCTGTCCGTGTTCTGGTCATACTAGTTGCAACATTGCTTTACAACTCTAAATCAAGTTCTCAGTTTTAATTAATGAAGTTGTTGATTACGTTGTACTACATCACGTTGCCGTGGCGGAATGTGACGTTGGTAAAATATTTCTACCGTGGTTAGTAAAATATTTCTACAATGAGTAATGAAGCAAGTTGAAGCATTCAGGGTTACATACTTTGGGCCTATGCGCACAACTGAAAAAAATGTTTATTTACACAAATTATCTGTCATCACTAACACTTTACAAGTGCAGATGGTTAGTCGCGACTTGACAATTTTTGGTCGAAGCGACAAATTTTCAAACGCACCGCCGTCAAATTTTGTCCCGGGTAAAACCTTGGCAAAATCGACTAAATAAACAAAACCGTGATAAACTTGTCGATCATTTGTCGTAAACGCTAACACCAGTGTGGTAATTGAACTGAGTTAAGTTTACCAATAGAATACTTGTAACTGGAGTTTAAATCCATATGAAAATTAAAGCCGCCACTTTAATGCGGAGAAGGTTAGGCACTGGAATGTCCCACCTTATGACAACCAAGGGAACAATTTGCATGCAGCCTGGGCAAGTTTCAACGGTGGAGTGATTATCCAGTTGCCACTTTGGCAGTCCAACAATGAATCAGTAGAGGTGGCACAAGATCCAAAAGTGCCCACTCGAGGCCAAAGGAAAGGAAAAGCTTAATTGAATAAATTACAATGAAATATAGTATCGGTGTTATATTTGGCTGTTGACCGAATTTGACAGCTTTGACAGCTTCGAAACTTTTAGTGCGGATGCAACAGAGGAGACAAAAATTTGTCCGTTGATTTTGTCAGGACAATTTTAGTTTCGTTTGCTAGTGCGGATAGGCCCTTTCTCTCCTGGCTTTATTTGTCTGGAAATAATTATCTGCGGGAAAGAAGAGCTAAGATGTCTACAGATAGAGAGGATTAATGACGAGCTTGAAAAATTTGCAGCTATAACTTTACAACACCTTGTTAAGTCACTTAGTGGCTTTTGTTCTCAACATTTCGAATTCAGGGACGGAAGGAAACTCTTGGTATTGTAGCACGCCAGATGCTCTGGAGACTTCTGAAAGGGTTGAGGTGACAGGCGTTTAAAAGTGCTAATATGCTTGGATTCCAGCCGGTCTTAATCGTCCCATCATAACTTAGCATAAATAAAAAAAATATCGCAATTTGACTTGAGTAAGGGATAACAAAATGCTTTGTTTTACACAAAATACTAAAGAAGAAACCATGTGCGAGCATTTAAGAATCACATTTGATAATTTTTTAAACTTTTAATCGATCGAAAATTAAAATGCAAGACCAGCCACAGATCTAACTGATGACTCAATTTTAGAACTGACAGAAATTCGATTTCTTAGTCGATAAAAAGGTATTTTCCAATTGATAAAGTGCATGCCGCGAAACAATGAATTAAAACTGCAACACTATTTTGTAATTAAATAGGCGTGTTTTCCTGATTTCTGATAACACTCTGCTTAATCATTATTGTGATCGAGTAGATCAAATAATCCGACTTCAGTCGATTGTCAACTCAAATCCGGAATTCAGCCCTTTTCCCTTTCATAGAAAATTAGATATTTATGGAAGCAATCTGCTTTTTTTTTGTTTCAAAGTCACTGCTTTGTAAAACAAATAGCCAGATATTTATAGCGGCCCATTTACGAAAGTTCTTGAAACCCTGGATGACGACCATTTAATTTGTTCAAAGAGGGGCAGCGTCATGCAAGATCATGATCTCTGATCGTTTAACCCAGATAGTGATAAATCACTGAGCCACCTCAAGAAATAACCATTGGTTTTACTGAAGATTCAAATTACGACCACAAGAATACGATAGTTTTCAACTTTGAAGAGAAATGCCCTGAGGCTCGTTTCTGTTAAGTCGCGATGGTTACCGGTCCGGAAAAGCTGTTTTTTTTTTTGTTTGGTGCCTTTACATTCAAGATCAATGGTGTTTGTAGTGTTGTAATTCAACGATTAAAATATCATTAAATTTTCAAGAAACGAAACGTTTCTTTTTTGCTCAAACCCGCTTTACTTTTCTCTAGATTATGAGTTTGAACCGTGCGGTTACCCAGGACTTTCGAGAAACTTATTGGCCTGCCTCACTCTGTAAAGAACATTCTACTAACGAAATTTCCAAAATCATTTGGGTTGAAGTTAAGTTACTGCCATCAGGGGAATAGAAAAACTATCGACAAAAAAAAAAAAAAAAAAAGAAAAAAGAAAAAAAAAGAAAAAAAATAAAGCAGAAAGAAATGTTAGCTATAACAACTTCCACGAGATAATTTTCATGTGAAGTCATGTTAGCCGTGTTGTTTGGTGCATGGTAGTTTCAGAATATCCTTCATTTTCATTCACTAAACAAATATGGCCGCTGTTTAAAACTTTCTTTTAAAAAAATTCAATGCCAGACTGTCATTGTTCGGCATCTATAGGTCTATTGATTCTGAAACTCATAGCAACCTTTATCGGGAGAAGCCCTATTGTCGCGTACCTTTGAAAACAAATGTTAAGCGACACGCAAAGTAGCTTCTCACAAGATTACCTTACTGAAACCCAAGGGTATAGTGTGTAAGGGATACGTACATTCATCTTTTAATCGTTATCACAACGCATGCAACACATTTCAATAAACACGAGTATTTGAAGAATACTAACTCGAAAGGTAAACAGCTAACACTCTTAAAAACAAGAGTGATTAATTATAGAATTTTTTATGCCACTCGAGATGTTGCGTAATGAGGAAATTTGGTGACTTGAGGGCAAGAAAAAAAATCGCACTGCATTCCGGAATCTATTGTTGTGATAAAGCATTGAAAGAAATGTAATTACGCACATTGTGCTTTAGATGGAAGATAGACAAGATGAAAAGAAGTTTTGAAAGCTTGTGTTGATAAACTTTGGTTACGATGCATTTGTTCATTCGTGTGTTACCATGACGATTTGTTTACATACGGGGGTATTTCACGTGAAATAGTAGCTGATTTATCGGTTATCTTTTGTTTGTGACGTCATTTGTTATCATTCAAATTAACAGCCTGTCAATTTTCTGCGGTCAGTTGGAGGGAAATCAGCTTGCGCACCACAAATAACTCACGACAGGAACTCGGCTGTCCGACGGCTTCTACTTTACCGTGAATAATTCGATCCTTGCAAATCTTTGCAAAATGTAGTTTTGCGTCGGCGAAAAACCCCTTTAAGCGCGATTACGATGTTGGTTCTCGTCGATGAAGCGATCAATTCACCAGAAGATCGATTGGGATCAGGTTCAAACCAGGTGACAATTGCTATTTTATTTCATCAGCGCGTTACTATATATGTCAATAACAGCTTTCCCATTTGTCCATGGGAGGCCTTAATGTTTTTAGCTACCTAGAACTAATCTAATCGATTCAACAGTTACGCTCAGATTTTCACCTTTTAGAAATAAGGAACAGTCTAAGTCCTGTCTGTAATCGGACCTCAGTTGCTCATAAGCAAAGATTACTAGGGAAATTTTAAAAATCATCTAAATTGGGCTAATAATTTCACCTTGACTGCCCCTTACGAAGGACAAAGGTGTTAGAATCATTGCACCCATAACGAGGATTTTTTGTTACTCCTTTCGCTACAGCGATAAGATTCGTAGTGGACTGTTCCAATTTACAGCAATGGAAATGTATCCATTTCAAACATTTCCACCCGAGAAGTCCTAACTTTGCTTAGGCGACATGGGATACCAGTTCACCTCAATCGCTTTTCACCGACCACATGTAGAATGAATTGCAGTTCTTGTCGACTTACATGAATAGTATTGATTTGTAGAAGTTCTCTTCACAGCAATTTTCTCGTGAAATTTCTGAATTTAAATAGTCTTCCCGGGTTGCCATTTTGCTGTTTACTTACAGATATCACTAGATGCTCCGCAACGCCTTGTGGGTTAGTTTTTCCCGGCTATGCTGAGAAGCGGGGATCAGAACGCCAATGGGGTGATTCAGAGAGGAGTGAGGAAAATATCTGCGTCCAGAAAATTTCACGAGAGCCGTAAGATCGAGCCAACGGACAACCCTCGAATGGCAAACAGGCACATTAACGGGAACGTTAAACATGACATGCTGAACGGTCAGGCTAAGGCAGCATCTAAAGCTTCTTTAGACCCAAATAGTTTCGTCGAAGCCGCGACGTTGCTTGGTAGTGTGGGGTCTCTAAAGGCAGCTGAAACAACTGATAGAGTTCGACGAGGGAGTACATCGTGCGAAGAGGATGTTTATAAAGGTCACCCATTCCCGTTTGAGAATTTGGTGTTTGAAGGCGGAGGAAATAAAGGAATGGCCTATGTTGGGGCTTTGCAGGTATTTTTTATTATATTTTAGGCTTAAATTTGTGTTGTTCTGCTCTTTGTTTTGACTTGTGATGGTCACGGATTCCTTTGCTACCGTGTTTTGATCAGCACATTTTCCAACAGTCTTCCTTTCACCAAGTTACTAAGCTTTCGCTTTCGGGGTTGTGTTTTCCGATAATTATCGTTAGTTAGTGTTCGCCAGGCACGAGTTTTTCACAGTCGAATTCCTCACTGACATGTATACGTAAGTGATTGTGAATTCCTTTGCATATGTCAGGCCGATGTGAGATTCTGTTTGACTCTCCAAACACCCCTTCTGTTCAAATAACACTCATAACTAAGGCTTAGGTATTAGAGAACTCTTTGATTAACAGATTGGAGATAGCGATTTCGAGTTGTGACTTCTAGATGAAAGTTCTCGATGTGTTGAGATTTGACGTAATATTATTCTCCAGGCGTAATATATTACTGTGATATTTACTCGTCTGTGTAAAGTACATTGATATTCTTCGACGTTTTAGATAAATCAAACTGTTTCAATAATAACCAGCCGGCAATCTGCAAGTGTAATATTATTTCAATCGTAGGGAAATTGATCTGTGCGGTAAGAGATCGATGTTGTTGAGAATACTCTGCGGGTAAATTTTTACACGCAGTCAAACTGTTCTTTGTTTTAACATAAATATTTAACAATGGGATCGTACAGGAGGGCGAAAATTTTTCTCTCGACGAAAGAGATATTCTGAACTTGTTATGGTCTGGTGTTAATATTTTCCTAAATCGGACCGACATGATAATATGTTTTAAAGATCATTAATTGTTTGATGGCTTATCAGAGATTTTTTATATTTTTAAAATGTATTATTCATGAAAATATTGAACAAGTTTAATTTGTTAGCATAATAAAAGCGTGAAATGTACTTAAAAATACGGGACGGGGTTTGATATATTAAACCATTTTGTTTAATGGTACTTGAAATTACCGTTTTCTTGGCAATTATTTTAAATACTATATTATTTGAGAACCCATTTGAAATGTTTCTTAGCTAAACTAATTGAAAATTCATATCATAACGTTTCAGTCTCCCAGTGAGATGTTTGTTATGTTGCCATTATGTGAGTAGGCTGGTAACATTTGGAAGATATTCAGCAGCAAATCTTGTAGCCAGTTAATAACTGGATTAAATTAATTGAATCAAATGCCTCTAGAGTCTAATTCCTTTGTTATCAAAGTTGTAAAAGCCAGAAATCTGAATATCCAATGCCTTTTAAATTCCAATTGTGTAGAGATCTGTGTTGCCCCTTGCAAATGTCTGTCTATTGCACCGTAAATCACCATACACAGTGTCGCCCTTATTTCAAGCATGACAGGTAAAAGACATTTTTAAACTGGTAGAGCAGTCCCTATACCAGTGGTATTAACAGGCAGTACTTACAGCGAGTAGAGGTGAAATTATTTTCAGTTACTGCCTGAAAAGGAGAACACCTACATTCTTTTAAAATGTTTCTCTATTTGTTTGATTTGGCACTTTGTTCCTAAATTGTGGGTGATGATGGTCTGAAATTCTATGCTATTTTTACGCTGTAATTTTCTTTCCTTTTATTATTTCCTGCTCCTTTGAGCTATAATTTCTCTGCCAAGCATTGTGTATCACTGGGTCTATGGCTTTATTACTAAGATAATTAGCAAGAGTGGTGCAATGATTGCTCTGCCCAAGAATAGGGAAAACAGATGTAGGAATCATCCCGAAGTTAGCCTTTCAGATTTTTCACTGATTTTACAATCATTTCAGTTTTCTTCTTTATAGTTTAGCTCACTGACTGTTCGATTCTAATGGGATTATAATTATGGCTTGAACCAGAAGTTTCTCTTGTACATAATGTCCTACTGTGCCCTTCCTCCTGTCCTACAAGTTTACTGAAAGGTCTTTACTGTGAAGGATCGTGCATATATACGTTTCATAACTGCAGTTCATACATATGTTTCATATGTTTGTTGTTGTTTGATTTATCATCTACGGGTTTATGTCGAATTAATTTGATGGCCTGCTCCCAGTTGGCTTGTTAGCTCAATTGGTAGAGCGCTGCACTAGTATCGCAGAGGTCAGTGGTTCGAATCCCGTACAGGCCTGAAATTTTTTTCAGGTCTGATTTTCATTATTGCTCAAATAGTGCTTTACTGCAAAGGATCGTGCATATATACGTGAAAGGTCTTTCTTGTATTGTTCTAGAATCTTTTTCTTTAATAACTCTGTCGTGATTTCGTGGTCTAAGCAGTTTCAGAAAATTTGGAAAGGATTGAAATTTTTAATTATTTTGAGATCATTAGCTGGTGAAAGCTACTTTTTCTTTAAAAATCAGTTAAATGCTTCAAAACCCGGTTTAGTTTTCCTCTCGATAAATGAAAATCTAGAGTCCTACAGGCTATGCTAAGGGACATGTTACTCCTAGTGCTTATATTTAGCATTGTTGTATCAAGCAATAAGGAGTAAGTCTAATTCTCACAGATGTCAATCACAGATGACCTCCTGCATTTTTCATGCTTTCCTGACAGTTGATGGATACCCAATTATGCCCCTGGGCAGAGAGAGGCTTTTTGGATGTAAAGGGGTCTTTCCTGTGGCAGACAACTGAACACAATTACTTTTAAAGAGCTCGAACTGTAACCCCTTGGTCTAGAATCTTGCTACTGTGTTGTGAACTCTATGCTCTAGTTACCCAGATTGAAATGTTCACAAACTTACCTTTCTCGACAGCACAAACAGTACTGTCCTGTAGATAGCCTGTACACTTGTTAATGGTAGGTGACCATTGCTCACTAGACGGGAGAGAACACATGAAGTACTTGTGACTACTTCAACATGGACAAAGTGTGTAATTCTGGGAACAGCACTCAAGTGGGGTTCGTGCATACGTATGAGCTCTGTTACCTAGTAACGTGTGACTTATTTTATGTCATGTTTAACTGGGAGTCTCTGATGGAAGCTGTGTAGTAAAACCTGTTTGGATGCGGTCAGAGAAACAGTTATTAAGGATAGATCGAGAAACTTGAAGCAAACTATGTTAAATTTGCAAAGCTTTGTTTGCTATGTGGAAGCTTGTTATAGTTCAATGAGCATTTTAGTAAATTGTTTTGATCTTTGAAGTCCATAAAGATTTCATCCATGAAATATTATGCAAATTCACGCCTGAAATTAAAGCGAGCCATAATTTGAGCTTTTTGTTTACAGAAGTTTGGGTGATATTTAAAAGTAAAAGTCGGTCTTCTTAAAGCAAAGACATTGTTCATTGAAGGGAATTTTATATAGGTAAGGCAGGGTGCTTATTTACTGGTCTTTTTTATTTCAATATCTTGTACCATTTCTCTTGAATTAGAGCACAATTCCATTTTGTTCTTGCGGCCAAACATAAACAAACGAACTGAATGTTTGATCCCTGACCTCTCATGGATCACAGACGCAGTGATTCCACTCCTCATTCCAGCCGGCAAAGGACACGATCATGAAATTATCGTTCACTTCTTTAACAGTGCATGCACACCAAACTCCTCCTTCATCAACTGATTCAGCTTTGAAGCCAACAGGTTTTGGAAGCACCATCTTGTTTTTAGTCAACAGTGCCTTTAGCTTAAGCGATCAAAACAGGTTTGTGATCAAGAAAGCCGGTCAACTTGTTTTGATGAATCTGCAATTGGTCGCTAGGATAGTAAGTGGTGTCCAGTATCTCTCGGTAATTCTAGCACCTTATTGCACATGTGTTGATTAAAACCGGAATTCTTAATGAATTACCCACTTTGTCTGTGTTGAAGTTGTAATGTGTAGTGTACAAGTTTGGCCCCAGGCAGAGATCAGGAAAACTGTCATGCTTAACAGTTGATTGTTACCATTAAACAGGTACTAGAAAATGCTGGGATCATGAAGAATATTAAACGTGTGGCTGGAGCAAGTGCTGGGGCAATCATCGCAACTCTTATAGCTCTTGGTTATGACTCTAAGGAGTTAAGGGAATTTCTGGAACAAGATCTTCGCAGGATCTTAGTAGGTGAGCTTCAGGGTGTATTTTCATTTGATCATGTAATTTATAGGGAGAGCATCAATATGATGGCACTACACTTGATATTGTATAGGTTTTGAGTCCTCTGTCATGATGGCATTGTGTATGTTATCTTTCATGTATCAGGAAGAAATGTGTTTTAATCACACTTCAAACTGCCTCCCGGTTAGCTCAATGGATAGAGCGCTGGACTGTTGTGCGGGAGGTCGTGGGTTTGAGTCCCGGCCGGACCAACACTCAGGGTCTTAAAATAATTGAGAAGGATTTGCTACCTTTCTATAACATCTAGAAATGGTTAGATATTCTAGTCTTCTCGGATAAGGACGAATAAATAGAGGTCCTGTCTCCTGCAGGGTTGGGGTAGGAGACGTTAATTTCCCACACACGAGATTACTGTGTGATGGATGTCCTCCCCTGGGGTGGGATGGGTGTTTTTATTGGGCCTGCAGTAATCGGCGCAAGCTGTTGCGGTGTCCCTGCCAGTTGGCGAAGCCAAATAAATCATAATCTAAATCTAAAACTGATGCATTTTGTGTTAGAAATGTGCATCTGAAGGTTTTGAATTTATTGCAGTGGTCAGTTTTTTTAAAGCAAAGTGCAAGCCATCAAATTGAAAATTCTCAAACATGTTCCAGTACTGAAACAAAAAATGCATACAAAAACTCGCTGACATTGAAGCACTCTAAAAAATTTCCATTAAGAGAAGGGGGGATAGTTTTAGCTTCTGGCCTTGGTTTTCTTCTATATTTTAATTCCTTTAATTTTTTATCTCTGTGGAGATCACACCTGTGGATATTGCAGTCTTCTTCCAAACTTGCTTAAAGGTTTTGGCTGGAATCCTGGCAAGAGAATGTTACGATGGTTTGGTGAACAATTAAAAGAGAGAACTGGTGATGGCGACATTACTTTTAAGGAAGTAAGTCAATAATTTGGAAATCAAAATGTTTAGGTATATTTTGCTGTGTAAATGGTCTTTGTTTAATTAAGGAAAAGCTGAACATTAAGTTTTAAAAAGGAGTTTAGGGAAACTCAAGTGAGATGGATTTACTTATTTATTTATTGTTTGTGAGGAAATTTTATTTTGTTTCCCCTTAGAAATCATCTTCAGGGCTCGACACTAACTTTTCAACTTACTAGCRAAGTGGCTAGTGACAACTTAGATGTTACAACAATTTCAGTTTGTTTACTAGCCAAACTGGCAAGTGGAAATCAAAAACCATCATCCAAAACTGAATATCTACTGGTCTGTGGCTAGTTGGCTATGGCTAGTGTCAAGCCCTGATCTTTCAGCCTGTCACATATGTTGGACTGGTCTAGCAAAGAGCTTTGCATTTAATTTATAATCAATGTTCCTCTAGGTGTGGGAAAGATTTGGCAAGGAGCTCTGCATTGTTGTTACAAACCTAAATCAGATGTCAGTAGAATATTTTCACCCAAAGACTACACCAAATACACCAATCAGAAGAGCTGTTAGAATGTCAGTCGCACTTCCAGGTAAGACTAGAAAGAGGTCAGCAAAGGGAGGTCCTGTTCATATACAAATTTGTAGAAAAAGTGATGCGTCAAGTACATGTAATCTTTAAACAGTATTTCATGTGTTACAAAATTAATGTGAAAGGGAAAACTTCAAACCTCAACCATTGTAACATTCATAAAATCTTTGCTACCCTCTTTAGCTCTAGAAATTTCATTTGCATGTTTTAAGGATGCCTTCCTCCAAAAAGAGGGCAAAAACATAAGAAAATGAAGTTGATTTTTAATGAAATAATTTGCATATATCAACAAAGTTGAAATGGTAAATTGGCCACCGTAACGATTACAAAAGCTGACGTTTCGAACGTTAGCCCTTCGTCGGAGCAATTTTTAATGAGTTCAGGTGATGTTGCAACACATCTTAATACTTTCTTCCTGCATTGTAGGAGTGTTCCAGTGTGTGCGTGAAATAAATAATGATTATGAAGATGTCTATGTTGATGGAGGACTCCTATGTAATTATCCAATCCATGCATTTGATGGTATGTATCAGAGGAAATCAATATGTTTTATTACCTTGATAAGATGTATGTTAGTCTGCACTTGTGCCAAGTAGGCCATCCAGCCAGAGCTCATCTGGATATCCCATGTATGGAGCAACAAGAAGTATTGTTACTCCGCCAGGTGGGACTCTAGTCCATTGCAGGTTACCCATCAGCATTTTGTCAGGCTCCATTGGGAATGGGTTTGCTGGTATCCTTTCTTGGATCTCTTTCATAATGCCAAGGCCAAAAATTCTGATTTACATGACCATCAAAGGATCGTAGTTTGGTCCACCATTTATGAAAGAGGTCTATATATGCTCCTGGATGGAGAGAGGCCTGAGTCTAATGACTTTTACTGCAAGAGGTTTTCCTGGTCGCATAAGGCAACCAGAAGTACTTCAACTCCCCCCCCTCCCCCTATCCCTTTGAAGAGATGCAAGGAGGTCATGGGTCACCCTGCACAAATCCCCTCAACTCACCCTCCCCCAAACCCTACACTTCTCATACAAGTACAGTACCTCCTGGGTGGAGAAAGGTACTGGGACTATTTGGGACTCCTAACCAGTCTTCTGACTGGATTTGAATATTATAGGGCTGTATACCCCACAGAGGGAACATATTACTTCTTGTACTTAGAAAAGTACCGAGTAATAACTTGACTTTAAATTTTCTTTTAAACATTTCTATCGTCATTCATTTAATCAAATTTCAGGGTTTACAATCACAAAGACAATTAAATCAATCAATAGCTCAATCTGAGGTAGGCTTAAAACAGAGTACAAGACTCCTTTAAAATTAAGCCATCTATTAGTACATCATACATATATCTAGAAAAATACTTCAGTGATAAATTAAAAAAAATAATATGATTAAAAAAGATACAATTTAAAATTAGGAAAAAAAATCTGTGTAACCGCTGAATCGATCGGTTAATTTTAGAGTATTTTAATCCAGGTTCATCAGATAAACGGCATACAAATAATTTTTATGTTTCTGAAAGTAGAATTACACATTATTAAAAACTGGATCATTGGATAATGCAATTCAAGACTTTTTATTGGCTTAGCCATTATGGTATATCAGCCAATATACCATAATTTACAAATATGGTAAGCGTACGCGTCAGCTTAAAATCAAAAGGGAGCTAAAAAATCCAGTTTCTTCTTACAAAATAATAATTTCTTGGGGGCGTTTTTAATAAAACAATTATTCCACTCGCGCTTGTTGGATATGAGATGATTATAGCCAACTCGGCGCTACGCGCCTCGTTGGCTATACTTACAAACAATCTGAGGCTTCCTTCTCAAAATAACTGATAAATGTTCGTCGAAATCGATAGGATGAAAACGATTCACATTCACAATCTTCTGAACAAAATCATCATACACATGGCCGAACAAGATCACTCGCTCGGCCTGGTAACAACTAAGAGTTGCGTCGTGTTATAATCATGAAATGTCCGTTTGGAACTTACAATCTGCATTAAACTTGTCATAATAAAAGGATCAAATTCTTACGAAAGATTGGCAAGGTATTTGACTCTCTTATACTAAATTTAATTCATTCCACAGTCCACAAATCCGAATAAAAAAAGAATTCTTGAAGACGTCAGTCCTGCTGAAAGGGACATCCAGCGTTAAATGATCAACCTTCCTAAGCGGTTTGTTACAAAAGTGAAACGAAACAAAATCGAAATTGTTTAACATATATATCCATCAGACACTTAAAAAAGAAGACTAAATCATTAATTTCTCTTCGATACTTCAAGGGTACTAAATTTAACTTCCTAAGGCGCTCGTATTCAGAATAATCCCTTTCGAGTATGAATCTTGTAGCCCTGCGTTGAACTTGTTCTAAATTGTTGATGTTTCGTTTGGAATGAGGTGACCATACCACGTTAGCATATTCAAGGCGCGAGCAAACCCAAGCAATATAAAGTAATTTCTTCGTACTAATATCATGCATGTTCCTGCATGTTCGATAAAGGACATTGAGCATTCTTTGAGCTTTAGAGGAGATAAGATCAACGTGATTATTCCAGCTTAAATTGTCGCTAACAAGAACCCCTAGGTCTTCCTCAAAGCTTGTAGCTTTAAATTTTTATCGTTTTTAAATAAAGGTCATCCATCCATCCATCAGTCCATCCATCAGTCCATCCATCCATCCATCCATCCATCCATCCATCCATCCATCCATGAACACGATCCAACTTAATCCCACCAAGATAACAGTCCGTATCGTCAATTGATCCTATAGGAGCTACCCTTAACACCTTACACTTTTTGGCATTAAACTCCATTCCCCAAATTCGAGAACACTGAAATAACTTATTCAAGTCATCCTGCAATTTGTCGCCGTTATTAATTAATTCGTTATTAACAATGGTAAATTTTCCCTTCTTCCTTTGTGCTCAGGTTGGTGGCTTTCCATGGACCCCAAAGACACTTTTTTCAAGAAGCTTCAACCTCTGGAGGATTTTGCAAAACTCTTTGAAAAGTCAGAGAGGTTTGGCAGTTGGAACCAGAAAACGTTAGGAATAGTTCTAGTAAGTGAACAGGAAACAGCAAACTTGCGAAACGAAAAGGCAGATCTACATCTTGACTTACATTGCATTAACACCACAGAGCAGTTTTCAATTGAATGCCGGAAGTAATAATAATTGTTTCGGTTTGACTCTATCGCGCTTTGTGATTGGTTCAGAAAACTCACGCCGTCGAGTTGGACAATCAAGAGCTTCTGTAGTTGGTGATCATTTCCTGTATTCTCGTGACCTTAATGTTTGATTCAGCAGCGATAATGAAAGGAGAAATTAGATGCTCGTCGCTCTTAGTAGTGGCGGATCTGAGGACGGGGCACGGGGGACCCGAAAACATAACAGATTGACCCGGTCAGACCCAGACCTCTTTACCGGGAGTTCAGCGCACTAACTATTAGACTGCCGTATTTTGTTGGGTTATACACAAGTCTCCAAGCGATAGGTGTAATATCCCATGGAATACATGTACCACAAAAAAATTCAGAATGTTTACCATGCCACAGAGATTGAAGGGGCTAACACAATCAGTGCGACCTCATTTTGAATGGCTTCGAATAAGCTTGTTATGGTTCACAATCTTGACAACGTTTTTAGGATTCCTTTGAAATGTTCATGAGTTAAAATTCATGACAGAATTGTAAATAAAGGTAAATATAAAAAACGTTCCTAAGAAGCTGGAATTGGCACCGATTACCTCGAAAGAGTTAAAAAAACGAAAAGTTAGATTTCGACACGACGTTTTCGTTGCCGTCGCCGTCGTCGTTGCTAAAGCTCCCTAATTAAATTAAAACCAGAACCCTACCGCGTCTGATCACTTGCATTTTCCCGCGCTTTTAGCGGTTTGCTTGTTTTTACGGTTTTGCTTTACTACGCTAGGTGGTTGGTCCAGAGAACTCATGCTATCTTTTCAATCAATCAAATTCAAAACCAAAAGCAGCCGTGTCTTTCGCTCGCATTTTCTCGCTCTTCAGGTAATTTGCTAGGCTTTACTTTTGACTATCCTTGTCTCGCAGTTTTCTTTTGTTCTAATCGGCTGTTGTGATTACCTTTGTTTTAGTTTTGCGACACTCAATCGAAATACGTACTTAAAAGTTGGTTTCTTTTTCTTTTGGGTTTTCAGTATTCTCATACAGAGACTGAGTTAATGAAGACATTGCTTACAGAGCGAGAAGGAAACAAGCCGCCGAAACCACCTGTTACCAAACTTGCAAAGTGAGTGAAATAGCAAATTATACAATGGCTCTTCTTTTCTACAACGTGTACTTAGAGAGAAATCTTGTGCCATCTTTTCAACAATTTCGTCAAAACAATCAAACCAATTTATGTGCTCAATATGTTGCTTCGTAGCTACGCTAGTAGTGCCGCTCAACTAGTATCGGGAAGGTAATTTTGGTTTTATCAACTGAGTTGATAATGTAAATTGGCCACCGTAAAGAGTTTCAAAGCTGAGGTTTCGAGCGTTAGCCTTTCGTCAAAACAGGCTAACGCTCGTGCTAATGCTCGAGACATCAGCTTTGAAACTCGTTACGGGGGCCAATTTGCATCATCAAATCAGTTGATAAAACCAAAATTACTATGTTGGAATAGGTAAACTGATTAGAGTATTCACAACTAATACACGACAAGCCTTCTGTTTTTTTCGCAGGCAAAGGCTGAAATTACAGCATCAACAGGCCATTATGCACCAGGAACACGCTACAATGGTCAAAGCTGTCGGCAGATTCATGGCGGTGCGTATCTTTTCTCAGTTGTGATGTGTATTTTATCAAATATCCCCAGTCGCAACCTCTCTGCATGCAGAAATAATTTTCATGCGGTTTTTATTTTTCACAGGAATTACAAAGAAACAATTTAGACGAAGACAGCATCATCAATTTAAAAGAGCTGAGAGGAGTCTTTACGTTTGAGGACGTACGTTACGTGTAATTAGGGATTCTACTTGCACCAATCATCATCATCATCATCATCATGATCGTCGTCATCATACATAGTTTATTTAATAAAGCAGGTTGAGGGATAGGCAAGACATTACGCATTCTGTAGATACACATTTCTGTTACTTTACCAATGATAATTCTAAAAGATATTGCACTGCTGCTACTGCTACTGGGTTACAGCTAACAGAAATGGAAATTGGTCTGTTTTTGGCATTTTAAATTTTAGAAATGTTGACGTTTCAAAGGGCATACTAGTTGACGAATGTCGACGAAATCAGTCGCCAATAATATCCGACGTAGGTATGATGCACGATCCTCGCAGTAGAGAGCGCTATTTATGCAATAGCGAAAATCAGACCTGAAAAAAATCAGGCCTGTACGGGATTCGAACCACTGACCTCTGCGATACTAGTGCAGCGCTCTACCAATTGAGCTAACAAGCCAACTGGGAGCAGGCCGTTAAGTTGATTCGTAATAAACCCGTGATGATAAATCAGATACAATGAATATATGAAGTTCATATATTTTGAACTGCAGTTGTAGATACGTATGACGCACGATCCTCGCAGTAGAGAGCTCTATTTATGCAATATCGGCGACTGCGGCGATCGGTGAGGTCGACGAAAATCATAATCGATGCACCGGGCGCCACGACTTTTTCGCCGTTGTTGACGTCGAAAATGAGCTAGTAAATCATGTGGTTGGTTGACCAAGGTAAGACAACCGCCCAATCGCCTAATTGGCCCTCTGGTGACAAAACGCATCCGCGCAAGTTCGTAAACGGTTTCAAACGCACTTTTTTTCTCAAACTACAGCCTTCGGACTTCACCGAGGAAGATGCAGAGCTGTTATTTGGACCAGGCGCTGGTTACAAAGCTGCTTTTGAAGAACTAGACACGGACGAAGACGGCGAGGTGAGACATGCTTTTAGTTTCATTTGCCCAGTAGAGTCCCAGCAGAGATCTTAGCCCTTCACACCCTATCCATGATATTCAAATTCTCTGTACTGTTCGCTTTACATTTCTCGTGGTACTGATGAGGAGAATAAGTTGGACAATCAAGAGCTTCTGTAGTTGGTGATCATTTCCTGTATTCTCGTGACCTTAATGTTTGATTCAGCAGCGATAATGAAAGGAGAAATTAGATGCTCGTCGCTCTTAGTAGTGGCGGATCTGAGGACGGGGCACGGGGGACCCGAAAACATAACAGATTGACCCGGTCAGACCCAGACCTCTTTACCGGGAGTTCAGCGCACTAACTATTAGACTGCCGTATTTTGTTGGGTTATACACAAGTCTCCAAGCGATAGGTGTAATATCCCATGGAATACATGTACCACAAAAAAATTCAGAATGTTTACCATGCCACAGAGATTTAAGGGGCTAACACAATCAGTGCGACCTCATTTTGAATGGCTTCGAATAAGCTTGTTATGGTTCACAATCTTGACAACGTTTTTAGGATTCCTTTGAAATGTTCATGAGGTAAAATTCATGACAGAATTGTAAATAAAGGTAAATATAAAAAACGTTCCTAAGAAGCTGGAATTGGCACCGATTACCAAGTCTCGGTGGGCATAGAATCGCATCTCATTATGGGAAGGTTAGGTGGAACAAAATACCGCTGGATACACAATGGTTTTTCTGAACTATGATTGGCTGTATTTTCCGTGGCATGGTTGATAAATGGATATCGACGGACTTTAAGCGTTTTTTGTGGAATTAATGGAAAGTGTTTCAGTAGTTGTTGTTTTAAACAAAACGCACAGTGGTGCTAAATCGTAGTCGCTGTTATTTACGATGTGTTTTGCTCAGAGTATAAAATCTTTATCAGTAGACTCAGTGAGGGTAACTTTCCTTGCAGATCACGTTTCAAGAATTAATGGCATTTATCGAGAAAAAGGGAGTAAATCTACAAACAAGATTCTTGGGCTATGCTAGAAAGGATATCAAACACTTAGGAGAGTTTATACAGACATTGCAGGTAACAAAGTGATTGTTTTGAGATATGTGTTCCTCGTTCATCCTGAGTCGTTGCCACTGGATTTCTGCTTTTCTACTTTGTTTGTCATTTTACTAAAATCGTACTTAATAAATTGTCTTTATTCTGTTCTCTAGACTGCATTATCAGTGAATGTCAAAAGAGTTTATGTGGAGGTGAGCGACGATCTTTGAAAACGTTACGTGGATCGTTTTGTGACAGTATTTTTATAATTGAAAACGCGTTTATGTTACGTGGTTCATCCTCTGTCTTCCAGAAAAAAGACGTTGAAAGAACTATCGGTATCGACACAGACTACATCGAGACGAACGACTTTAACCTGGAACAAGCTGACAAATGGTTCCTCATTGAAGTAAGGGATCAATTCTATTTCGTTCTTAGAACAAATACCTACCCTTTTGTTTCTGTAGAGCAAGTCAATTTTTTGGTGGAGCAATTGTCAGTTGAGTGTAGAAAGAAACCTAGGAATGCTCTGGTTTTGCTTTACTTCGCTCTGGATTGGTCTAGAAAACTCTCGCCGTTTTCTCAACCAATCAAATCCAAGACTGATAAACCAATCCTGACTTAGTCACTCGCATCTTCCCGCGCAGAAAGTAGTTTGCCTGTTTTTACTATGAGTTGTCATTGGTTAATGATGGTGTAAACCTTTGTTGTGATTGGAAGGTGTAATTACGTTGGTTTTGGTTTCTTGTACTCGAGGACTGAATTAACCTTAAAACCGAGTCAGTGGAACTATTTCATCAATAGAATGTGGGGTGTCTCAAGGAAGGTTTGCAGGGCCATAACCTTATGCGTTTGCTTACTTTGCTTTGGCTTGCTGGCTTTGCTTTGCTTACTTTTTGCATTTTTCTCTAGTCTGGTAGGAGAGCAACGAAAGCGTTTCTGAGGGAATACACACTGAGCAGTGTTAAGGAGAAAGAGAAGCAGAGAAGAATTTCTAACCAACAATCCAGCGTTACAGTGCGGGTTAAATGCGCTAATAATTCACCGGACACGCATGACAAGTCACGTGAACGTACAAACTCAACGCATTCAACCATCGACAAACAACGACGGTCAGTGACTTCGGTAGCGTCTTTAGAGACGAACATCACTTCGGATAGTACCCGAAAAGGCTCAGGTGTTCGGTTACCTCCGCTGTCACAAGAGAAGGGGCGATCGTGGGCAAACTGTTCGAGTGAAAGATTAGGATCTGGAGAGAGCGTAATTAGCTCAGGAAAAGTTGACGTGGACGTGGGTCGAAGTCCGAGGATTGGCGTCCGAGTTACAACAAAAGTCGGTGATTTAAGTTATAGTTAGTTTATTTATTGCCTTTAAAAGGCTTTTTGACCAAACAAAGGGACAGCTTGGGAGCTTGAGTAAGTATTTGTTTCGTGATTGTAGTTGCCGCATTGGCGACGCAGATAGTTATGTTGTTACAAAGAGATTTTGATTTTCTTCATCTTTGCATCGATAATTTTCGACGCAGTCTTTGATGTCATGTATGCAGAGAATTAAAGTGAGATTTCAAATCGCACCGATTAACTGCAGCCAACTGGGCGACTTATATTTAGACTAAGCATACACTCCTACAGGTTGTAGATTCAACATGTGAAGCCCTTTGTCTGAAAATTATGTAGGAGTGAAACGCGCCACATGAGAACTTCTAATGAAACAATGTCATTTCAATCAATCGGCTCGTAAATGATTGTCAAGGTGGAATTAAAAAATTATCGCGATTTTCATATGGGGGTAGAGGGGGGAGGAGTAGAGTTTGGAAGGGGTGATGTAAATTTTGTTCATTTTACCACGTGCAGTTTTATATGTAAACATAAAAACGTCAATATGATGTGTAAATTGGTAGAGCAAGCCTCCTACAGTTGTTTTGAAGGAAAAAAATCGCAAGTTCCTTTTCGGGATCTCTTCTCATCTCACTCATCCCACCCCCTCTCTTCACACCTGTGGGGTGACAGAGGGAGAATGGGAGAGATCCTGGTAATCATGCTACGTTGATAAAGGTGTCAGCGTCGGGGGGGGGGGGGCGAATGGGGAGAAGTCGATTTCTTTGAACGAGTGAGGGGGAGGGTAAGTGAAAGTGTACCGAGACCGATCTTAAGTACACACTAGTATAGGCCTGTCCAAAAGATAAGATTTGTTGAAATAAATTATTTTGAGATACTGTAACAAATTAGCATTGTTTTGTTCGGTAAGCGGCATTAAGGCTCTTATAGATTGTGTTAGTATAAGTTTTGGCTTTACTTGGATAAACGAGCATAAATTTTGCTTTTTGTTTTTTTTTTGAAGTAGCACCGCAGGGTATAATCAGCATATATATCAGGAAATATTTGCAAAGGCATGACCTGCTTGGTTGATTATTTTTAAGTTCAGTACATGGTTCAGTGGTCCATCTGGTTCATGGTTCAGTGGTTCATGCTTCAGTGGTTCATGGTTAATGCATGACCTGCATGACCTGCTTGGTTGATTACTTTAAGTTCAGTCCATGGTTCAGTCTATTTTCAATTTTGCAACGTAACGACGGCGTCGGTCACAGTTCCCGCTTTTACAGTCAACTTACAGAGAAGGGAAGAAGAACAGCCACGCAGTAGGCTAGAACGTTAGTATCACATTTATTATGTTCTGATATTATCAGAGGATACTGAACGTGATACTAACATCGTTAATTTTGACACATTAAGTCACTGCTTCTAGTTTGGAGTGAAATACCTTATTTATGTTTATCCAAGCCACTATGTAACTCAAGATCAAGACATCATGCTTTATTAACAATGGATATAGAGGTTGGACCTGTTTTGTTTCTTATTTGAAAAACTTGCTAAAGTAAAAGGCAGCAAAATTTTCAAAAACGAGCATAATTTTGAGCGCAATTTGGAAAAAAATCGGGTAACGGGAGTAGCATAATATGAGATGCCACTATTACTAGCACAATTTGTAAGGGCCTAGTTACGCTTAGCTACACGTTAGTTCACTCACAACGTCGTGTAATTGGTGTTTTTTTGATCACACATTGGTAAGGAGTATATATTGTTAATTTTCTTTGTCCATCCGGGTCAGCAAGATTGCGGGAGTAGAAAGTGGCGTCCGAGATGAAACCACAAAATTGCTTGTTACCACGGCAACGACCTAACTTGAGGTTCGTTATTCTTCAAAGTTTGAAGGAAGTGAGCCCTTTATGACTTACTTTAAGCTAGGAACAGATTGGAATCTCTCTTTTGGAAGTGTTTCGTCCACACCTATAAAGTAACTATTCTTCAATGAATTGCTATGTACGTGACCTCCTGTGATTGTTAGGTTTTATGGCGACGTGGAATTTTTTTCTTTTTTTACTGTGATTTGCATTCGGAACTGTTCGAAACTCTTCGGAATCGAATTTAAAGAATCGTACAAGGTCGACCTTTCAATCATCCATAAATCAGCTGTTTTACGGTTTGATTAAAGAAGGAAAAATGTGAGCATCGAGGTTGATGAAATTCTGGGACAGCAAAAAAAGTCCATCACCAAGCTACCAGGATCTGAATAGCAGAGTTATTCAAATTAGATTTTATTTAAGATCATGTATAAATTGATATGTAAATGAATTATTTTTTGAATGATACTATCAGTTATTTCTTCATATGTTCTTTGTAACGTACAAAAGGCGTTATGTTTTCTTTTAACAAAAAATAAAAGATTTATTATTTTTGAACGTTGGTGGGTATTTAGTGGTAATCAACATTCTTTGTTACGCATGAAATTAGTCCTCAGTGGGAGCTTCAGACTTTTGGAGCATACGGACTCTATTTTCTTGGGGAAACTTCCCCCCTTCCTCTTCTCCCCCTATAGTATACTTCCTTCGATCGTGGAAGGTATACTCCTTGGGGACGAACGGATTTTTTCCCCTAAGAATGTAAATGTAGGCCCTCTGAAATTGGAATGTACTCGCTCGCTCACCTTTCAAGTTTGCTTTCTTGGGACGTGTGGTGAATCTTCTGGACAAAGTGTTCATCCCAAGGAAGTCGACGAAACGTACTCCCTTAACAGTGTATTGAGACCAAACCCCTTGGAAAGTATAAAGAATTCTCCCTTGGAAAACGTATAAACTAGACTGTCATTGGGAACGTAGAAAGGCTACACGGCTGGGAACTCAGAAAGATTAGAAAAGTGTACGTGCCTGCGGAGGTATTGGCCAGAAGCGAGTTAATGAAGAGCCCTTCTCTGGCTCCCTTGAGACACTTTTCATCTCAGTGCGCATGTGAGATCGTCGCACCATGACATCCCGCCATGGAAAGAGCACGCGGAACATGCGTGGAAGGTACTTCTAACCCGCGTTCAGTTGTTTTAATTTGATGAAGTACTCGCACTCGGCCAACAAACTTCATTAAACAAATTTTATCATAATTTCTTCAGTCAGTGTCCACCGTTCTGAACTACTTAAATGAGAATAGTTTATACTGAATGTTAGTTGGTTGATATTCAATATAAATTGCCCAAGAAAGTAGTGATAAATTGTTTCAACCTTTCAAGACGAGAAGTAATCTGACAGTAATTTCCCAATACTGCATCAATAAGAAAGAAGAAATATGTCAACTTAGAGATACTGTCTGAAAAAAGACAATTCTTAGAACTAAAGTTGAAAGGAGAATTGTTATAAGGATCTCGGGAGTGAAAGGTTTAACATAAAATATTTATTCAAAATAGAAACAATTTATCTCCGAGCAACGTGCCAGTTGGCAACACCGTCCTGAAAAATTTCCTGCATAGAAATATTTCCTGCATAGACAAAATCATAAAAACAATTCCCTAGAGCAAAATCTCAAAATTTCAAACTTTCTCTGGTACATTAGTTTCGGACATTTTGAACGACAGTAGTTCCATATATCCAAATTCAGACTATTCGTACTCAGTCTGTGTCGGATCATATCCAACTTGCTGGTCGATATTTTGCTTTGGTATATATTAAAACGGCTAGTCAAACTTCGAATACCCATTGTTATTGAACTTTCAACTCGGGATATTGCTTTCCTGGGACGTGTGGAGGATCTTCTGGAGAATGTCCCCTCCATACGCGCTTGTTGGATAAAGAAACCCGACGAGTCTCGTTGGCTAGTATCTACCACCTCATCCAGATCGCCCGTTCAACTAAGCTTCTCCGCCAAATATTCATTTCTCGGACAATCTCTCAGCCGCGGACATTATCACCGACATACCTGTCGCCCGAAGGGGTTTATTTACTAATTAGCCATCTCCACTTCCGTGAGTAACAGTTCACTAGTAATAGGTGGTTTTCACCTTGCGTCATTGCCGCCATGTTGGTGGACGTAAACAACAGATATCTCATTAGCTTCTTTTGTTCGTCCACCAGCATTTGTTCATTTCACCATTGTTACCCGTGTCTCGAGAGATTGGTTGCAAACACGTATAGAAATATGCTTTGCGTCTGTTTCACGTCTCTCCACCCTTAGTACAAGTGTGCAACCACTAAACTGACCGGTTACGAATGGACGTAACTGGGTACGAATCGAATGAGTACGACACATCCATGAGTACAAAATGACTGGTAAGCGAATCAGGCAAAACCAGGGCTTTCATCTTTCACCCACCCTCTCCTGAACAATTATATTTTAATATCAACCACAAACTAAGTTTAATAACTTATTTACTACACTGTACAGCTTATCAAATACAGTCCTCTTTGTCCTTTTTCGAACAAAAAAGATGCCACATTGAAGGCAATCCTTTTAGGCCCTCTAAAGTATTCACGTTACTTGTGTCAAGAAATCACGATTATTGGATAAGGTTACCCATGAATTCAAGGCAGGGGTTAATGTTATCTGGTATGGCTTAAGGGGCCTTCAAAATTCTGGCTATCATGCATACATCAACTCCATTGATTGTTTAATACTTGTTAAAAATTATAACTGTCTGTAACCATAATACTTCTACATGTATAAAAAATATCTTCCGTCTGTATGATGTCATTTTTACATGAATATAAAAGCTATTGTCTGCAGAAATGCTACAGCAGAAACAAAACTAGCTTGAATTTAACTGCATGGTTCCGGCCAATCAGAATCGAGACAGTGACACCATTGTCTGTACACAAGAACGTTGAACACCAATAATTTATAAATTTTGAATAATAGGTGTCACTCCACAAAGATTACACCTAAAATATACTGCATACTGTACCTGAGTATGTCTTTGAAGCAATTGACAAAGCTAATTATGTATTCAAAACAATTGATAAGCTAAATATATGGCCTAAGAAGGCCTTTGTCTAAAAAAAGTAACAAAATGGAAACAAAATTGTCGTTTCCAGTCTTCAAACCAATGAGAGCCTCAGAAAAACTATTATAGTGTTTCTCCTTGTACAGCTCAGCTTAAAACCTATTTGTGAAAACTGAGGGTAGCAAGTATTTTCTTTAAGTTTTGTTTTTCTACAGGCCCCTGACATCACAGGTATGTGTATGTGTCATGGTTAGATTTGTTCTTGGTCATTTGATAACATGCCATGCCTTTCAGTAAACTTGGTTCATAGCCATTGCAAAAGGCTATTTCTTATATATTAAAATTCTAACATGGCTCCCAGGCTTGGGGAAATAAAACAAAATTAATTATTCATCCCTCAACCACAGTGTGATTTCTTCTGTTTTATTTCCCCCAAGCCTTGGAGCCAAGTTTAAATTTCGATATATCCAAAATTGCATTTTTATTGTAAAATTACATTTCAATGACTATCTAGGAATGTTTTAATTTGGTTATATCAACAAAGTTGAAATGGTAAATTGGCCACCGTAACGATTTCAAAAGCTGACGTTTCAAGCATTAGCCCTTTGTTAGAGCGAATAGAGGAATGTGGGTTGTGTGCGCTTTCAAAGGCACACACAACCCACAATTCCTCTATTCGCTCCGACGAAGGGCTAATGCTCGAAACTTCAGCTTTTGTAATCGTTACGGTGGCCAATTTACCATTTCAACTTTGTTGATATATCCAAATTATTTCGTTACCCCCACCGAAGCAGCCTCAAACAGTTTCTTTAGAAACTATCAGCCTTTATTCATCTTGGAATGTCTTTTCAAATAGAACATTTCTGGCAAACTCGTACATTGAAACATGCCTATAATTTGCATAATTTCTAATAAAATACTTATTATCAATAGTTCCTCAAACTATAATTATAGGGTCTTCTTTTGCATTTACAAGAGAGCAGAATTGATTTGTTGAAGCAGCATGCAGATCACTAACCCTGCAAAAATGCAGAACATTAATGCAGTGCTGGTGATGTTGTCTCATCTTGAATCATTACCATTTACAACAGCCGATGATTTACCTGTAAAAAATTGAAACATTTGATTGAATTGATATGGAAAAAGTTAACAATGCAGATGGTTCTTGCACTTTTTCGGGAACCCAATTCAAGGACTTTCATGGACTTTTTAAGTCATTTTCAAGGACCTTGGCTCTCAAATTCAAGGACCTTTTGCATGAATAGGAGCTAACAGAAATAAAAAACATAGCTCTATATCATGTGTCAAACATAACTGGACACAAGATTTGAAAGAAAAACTCGTTTTCACGATTTGTGCCAGAAACTTCACTTTCAACACCAAAAACAAAAGAAAACTTCGACTTTGATTCATCTGCACTTATTTTCAAGGACTTTTCAGAAATTTTCAGAGACCTGAGACTAAATTCAAGGGTTTTCAAGTCTTTGAAAACAAAAAAATTAAATTCAAGGACTTCCAAGGAGCGCCGAACCCTAGAATACACCTAGACCCACATCTATGTACCCTCCAAACCCTCAGTCTCCCAGTAATTAATCCAAGGTTCCCATTAAGTGCTGACCACTGGCTAAAATATCAGCTACACGTACTTGTTTATCAATTTCTGAACCACTACTTTTCATACGGTGATGCGTGTAGGATTGGAACTTTAGAAATTAAAACAACTCAGTGCCACAAAAGATTTCATGTACTGCTTGCTACCTTTCTTGAAAGTCATTTCAAATTTCACAAAAATATGAGCACTCTTCCAACCTCTGCCTAATTATTTACCTTGCGTTCAATTACCAGCATGATGCATACACTGTCCTATTAGTGCTCAGGTTGGGCTGGTGATAACCAATATGTTCACGAACTTTGTTCCAAGGTAGTTTTGACTAACCCTCTAACTCCAAAGATGTGATTTTTAACTCTCCCCTCTAGCTGCTACATATTTCCTTGTAAATAACTCCCTCTGTAAAAATTTGGAGTAAGATCAAGATAACACCCACCTGATGAGTTTGAGTATTCTCATTACCTATCTGGTCAGGATAATGTATGGATATTACAGGGATGTATGATATTCTGGTAGCTAAAAGGTTAAGACAATCCTAAAAATAACCATCAAATATTTACCATCAGTTACTCCATTTTGCTGCTGCATTTTTTTAAGCTTTTTTCTTTTTTTATTTTGGTCTGAACCATAAGACCGTCTACTCTTCCGTATGGGACTTCGTTGAAAGAGTTCCTCTGTATTTAGCCAGGGGTGATTTAAACATTCTTGAACTGAGAGCCTTTCACTATAATGTAAAAAAAAAAAAATGTAGATTAAATTTTAGTTTTATAGCACTCTGATTCAGTGTAAGGTACATATATCTTATTAACCAAGCGCAAGGGCTGTACTGGGAGAATATCGGCCTGAGGTCTTGACAGTACTGACCGAGTGCAGCGAGGTCCGTACAAAAAACACCAAGGGCCAATATTCTTCCAGTCCGGTCCCGAGCAAGCTTGGTAAGAGATTTATTATATGACTGAAGTTCAAAGGGACACAAGTGTGGTATCATTCGGGACAGTGCCCGGTCCAATACTTAGAGAATATTGGACCGGCAATAGAGCATTTTGATTGGTTGATTTTAGTTATTGGCCCTCTGACTGCCCGAGTCGTGTAATAAATACTGTTTATGAAACGGGGTTACTTTGTGGTTAGGCCTTCAACCCTTTATACCAACAGTGCCTTGCATTTAATTCCTCCTTTCATTATCACTGCTGAGTCTCAGATTAAGAGCATAAGAAAAGAGGGAATGATTGCCAACCAATGAAGCTCTTGATTCTTAAAAACATTATCCTTGTCATTACTGTAGGAAAAGTATACAGAGCAGGGCTAACATTTCGGTTTCCTCAACATAGAGGAAGTACTTCTACTCCACTGCACACAAACCTCAACAACCATCACCTTGCACCCTTGTCAATGATTTAACAATTTACTCACTCTGCATCTCTTTGAAGAAGCCTCTTAATGAAATCTTGAGCTGTGTGTGAAATGTTCTTAAAATATTCCTCTGGAAATTCTACGGCAGCAAGGGACACATTGTAACATGTTTCTTGCTTGTCATCTCCAGCAAATGGTGACAAACCAGTCAACCTGATTGCAAAAAGAGAGAAAGTCATAAAGAAAAAAAATGATCAGAATGAATCTTTTGAATTTAAATTATATGCTAATGTGGTAATGATCGCATAAGAAACTCTCAATGCCACCATGCACACCTTATCCCTTAGCTCCCATGAGTGACTGGGACAGAATTTCTCATTAGAATATGAAGCTGACAAATGATGAGAATTAAGAAAAATATCAATTAGGGGATTAGCTGATCCAATACCAAAATTCTCCCAATTAAAATCACAAGAATTGCAAGACAGACACTAAAGTGAAGTAGAAATGGAGTCTTAGGAATGAAAGGCTTAAAAAAGAAAAAACCTAATTGGTCAAGAGAATTCAATCAATATACATTGTACAACGGTGCATGAAGGTGACAATTCATTGCAGCTCCAGAAAGAGGAACAAATTAAGTTTCAAGTATAGTTTTATAACATGTGCTTTGTTTAGTGGAAAAAGTTGTCACAGACCTTGAGCGAGGTTCATGAATATTCAGAAAGAAAATGGACCAGAGGAGCAGGTTTGGATAATCAAAAAATCTAGATGACCAAAGTTTGACCATATTTTGAAGAAGCCAAAGGACTGGTAGTTGTTATTGATCAACTACCTGACTAACAATATGAAGCTAATAACCTTTGTTCACTCATTCTTAATGTCATAATTAAAGAAAAGATATCTGAAAACAAAAGAGAAACTTGTTCATGATTAGGAAATTACAAAGAGACTTACATAACATAGGCAACAACTCCAATACTCCTAAAAAAGGAAAAAAAAGTTAAAGTTATGATACCATTTCATAACCAATAAACTGATACTCGTAATAAAATGCTTTCAAACCAAAAACATGCATGTACTAAAAAATTACCAAATGTCACTTGGTTTCCCAACAGGCTCAAATTCAAGTATTTCAGGAGCTGCAACATAGGAAAATAAAAGGAAACAAAATAATAAATGTGTACCAAATTGTTCTGTATTTCTTCTGTAAGTGTATCATTGCAAGGCATCATGGGTAGTCTTCCCTTTATCACGTGGAGTGATTGAGAAGATATCACCATTTTCTTTGTCATTACAGGCAGAAACATGTTAATTAAAGTCTCGCATGATGCAAGTGGGCAGTTTCTCTTTATTAATTAACCCCTAAGGGACGAACGACAGCCACAGACGTCGAAAATTACGTCACCTCTTTTTTGTTGTTATTTTCAGTCTGACCATGGGGAATTGGGACAAATCTGTTGTTAAACCGCTGGTTGATGTAATAAGGCTCGTTTCTGTGAAAACAAATCTGCGAAACTCAAAATAGGCGATTTTTAGCGAATATTTCACTTTGTTACTTGAATATTTCGCGTCAGCCCTTTAAATATGGCGTCGCCATATGTTCAGCTTGTACTTTACTAGCGAAATAATTCGAAATGGCGGCTGCAGAGCCGACTGGATTGACTTTTGTGGATGAAGACGATCTTCCTGTAGCATTCCTTCATATTGCCCACGTGGATTCTGACAACGAAGCGCCCTCTGATATCGATAGCAGCGAAGAAGGAGAATCTGCAGATGAAAGTGGGGAAGAAAGCGATGAGTGCAAGGATACTGAGGAGCGTAACTACTCAAATTTAATGTGGTCATCCGTGATAAGACCTCCACAAGACAGAAACTTCAATGACGAGGTTGGTATGAGAGTAGAAATGGAAAACAACAGCAGTTGTCTTAACTATTTTGAACTGCTCTTCACTGATAATGTTTACCAGCTGATTTTGAATGAGACCGCGAGATTTGAACGCCAAAAACGTCATCTTGATCCAAATTCAAGAGGTCATCTCCACAATTTGACTGTTCCAGAACTGAAGGCATGGCTTGGTCTCACCTTAGCAATGGGCTTAGTGAAAAAACCCAACTTAAAGTCTTACTGGTGTAATAAATCAGTTATCAAGACTCCATTGTTTCCAAACACAATGTCGAGAGATCGCTACCTTCATATTCTGCGGTTTATGCACTTTGTTGACAACAACAATGCTCCAGACCCTGCTGACCCTAATAGAGATAAACTGTGGAAAATCAGGCCATTTTTGAATGCTTTGCTTCCAAGATTTACCACAGTTTATTCACCATCACAGAATTTGTCTGTGGATGAGACCCTTATCAAGTTGATGGGACGTGTACAATTTAGGCAGTTTTTGCCTTTGAAAAGAAGCCGATTTGGGCAAAAAGGTTTTGTCATAGCAGATTCTGCAACTGGCTATGTCCTTGACACTATGATTTACACTGGCAAGGAAGGTCCTGCAGTCAGCAGAGACTTGGCCATGCGTGTTGTCCTCAAGGTAGTGGAGCCTTACCTTGATAAAGGATACCGGTTGTTTGTTGACAACTGGTACACCAGTGTACCGCTCTTTTTGGAGTTGGAAAGAAGAGGGATATTAGCTTGTGGGACTGTGAGGGGGAACAGGAAATTCCTGCCAAAGGACATTGTTGACCAGACAAAAGAACAGGTCAAAAGACTAAAGAGAGGAGAATCCCTCTTTCGACAAAACAACAACTTAGATTGTGTCACCTGGAAAGACAAGAAGCTTGTCCACCTGCTGTCAACTATTCCTGAGGGTTTAGAAATTGGTCAGGTGGAAAGGAATATCAGATCCAAAGGTTGGTGGCAAAAACAGAACTTTGCACAACCAAAGGTAATCAAAATGTATATATGGGGGGAGTTGATTTGGGTGATCAACGGATAGCAACCTGCTCCAGGCTTATGAAGGGAAATATTTGGTATTACAAAATTTTCTTTCATATGCTTGAAGTATCTGCACTAAATGCACACATTATGTACAAGAGAGCTGGGCATGGAAAAGTCACCCTAGCTGCATTCAAAGAGAAACTTGTGGAGCAACTTATTGCAGGAAATTCTTTTCGAAGAGACACTACCAATAACCTGTCAGCGATTGCTGCCCAGCTACCAGATATCCGCTTCAACCGTGTGCAGTTCCACCATCCTGTGAAAACTGACACTCACAAAAAGTGTAAGGTACACATACAACGGGTGGAAACAGTCTATGAGTGTGCAGTTTGCCAAGTGCGTATGTGTCCAGCACCTTGCTTCGAAAGATACCACACTTTGCAAGAATATCTATTTGACGATCCCAAAAGAAATAATTCTGCTAAAAGGCTCAAAGATGTGATTGGTAGACCAAGGGCTGGACCAGGCAGACCTCCACAGAGGAGGTCAAGATAAATTATGGCTCCTTGCAGACCTTGATGCAAGTACAGCAAAGTTATGTTTCTAAAGTCAGAATAATGGTAAACTGAACTGAACTGTGAACTGGCTTTAAAACTCTTTTTTATGAAATTTAAGTTTACCATCCACATCTACTCAAGAGATTTGCATTATTTGTTTTTGTTCAGTGCTTAAGACATGCTTTTGCAGATATAGCAGTTGATATTAAGAAAGAATCATGTTCCAAAAAAAAATGTTATTGTCCAAAACTCAACCAGTTAAAAAAAAAAACTGTTTTATTTGCCTTTCTGGATTTTTCAGATTTTTTCTTTAAGAAATATTAAGTAAATTTTTGCACTAGAAGAAAGTCCAGGATCTCTTCTTTTTAAAAATGCATGGGTTCATGGGGTTTAATCAAATTAAAAAAAATTACAGTGGAAAAACTGGTGTAGTGTTAAAAATTGCGGGAAAAATACCCCTCCCCCCAGTCCCCGGGGGGGTTAATTGAGGGATGAGTAACACCTCATAAAGGTAGTAATGTTGTGGAACCTCCTGTTGCACATCCTCACAAAGTTATGACTCCCTTTTTCTGCCCATAAGATTTCTCAAGAAAACTTTTTGGTTCACAAGTTTTGCTGTGCATCAATCAGGAGAATGACACTAATGACATGGGTGGCTATCACTCACAGGGTTGCCAAGGTTCCACTCTTGCTTGAATTATACAATGTAGGTTGCTGGCTCCATTAAAATTTTACAGCACTTGCATAACTTAAAATAGAATTATTATTTAATTTCTTCTTTCTTTTACTGATGCACGACTCAATTTCCGTTCACATATTATTTGTTTGATGCACTCACCTACTGCTGATGATTTAACACAATGCCTAATATTTCCTAATTGTTTACGATCAAACAAAAGACTCAATTTATTGTCTGTATTATATTACACAAGAAAGCTGCCTGATGTTGAATGAAAAAACCTTTACAAGGCTGTGCTCTAAGAAAAAGTGAAGGGAGCCTACTGCTCTGAAACTTTGAAATACAGGGTGACCAGCATATGCTTTCATATGAAAAAACTAAAATTCCTAAGTAGCCTAAGAGCAAAAGTTAGGGGCCAGGGGCCACTGGGCGCTGCTAGACCACAGCCCTGCTTTAATAAATATATTTTAAAAATTTGCCCTGAAAAAATCATTTTTTAAGGGGGTTGGGAGATGTATAAATATTTGCAAATTCCATAAAAGCTAATTAAAAGTATATTTAGAAAAAAAATTGTCGCACTTGAAAGTCTCACCGGAAATATGATCTGTAGGTATGGATACAAATATTGTAGAGAGAAGTGAATTTCACTAAGGAGTAAATTGAAAATGAACTTACCAACATATTCTGGTGTTCCAACTATCAAACAGATCTGTTCACCATCCTTAATCTGTCTTGCCAATCCAAAATCAATGATCTTGATCTCCGGGTAAGCATGTTCTGTCATCAACAGAATATTGTTTGGCTGATAGAAGAAAAAATTCAGAAATATTATTAAGGGTGTTTGTATTGGGCCTGTGGTAAGTGTTGTTAAATGTCTGAACATTTTGGTATTAAATTTTCTTTCTTGGGGGTATTAATTGAAGACTAAAGGTAAATTATCTTTGAGAATATTCAATATAATCAGAGATAGCTGCATGCAAATAAAATGGACATCCATTCTGCTAAATAATTATAGCCTACTTGAAGATCTTAATCTGCAAACAATGAGCACTTTTCTCTTGAGATTCTACTATTAAAACTAAAGTACTCCACAGCTTTAATCTACTTTAAGGTCAGATTTAAATTTCTCACTTGGGGGTAAAGGTGATATTGCAGGCAGAGATTGTTCGTAATTTTACTATCCCTTGGTAAATATATTGAATATTCTACATGTGATGGCTTTTAAGTAAGGTTGTAAGCAGCCAAGTGCAGTTGAGTTCTGCATTCAACTTTCACCCAATTGATCTTGTGACATTTAACCAGGTTTTCTTGCAGATTACAGGAATAAAAAAAATGTATCATTAATAATAAGATAAAGATTGCTTAAAGCACATTTTTCCACCTTGAAAGTGTTGTGGAATTGCACTGGGTTGGACTGCAAAGTTGCTAGTGAGAGAGAACTGTTTTATCCTTAGTAAACTACAGCACATTCACACTTTGTTGCAGAATCTTACTGCTGTTGAACATAGCAACCAGTTTGTGCTGATTATAAAGTAGAATGAACAATGACAAGGGCACAACTTTTCTCTTGATCAATATACAGTGTTTTCAGGTGTTGAGAAAATAAACAATATTTATTTAATATTAATTGGTTTCCTTGCTGATATTGTCTTTTGCAAACTACTTATGGGACGAAAAGCCCAAATTAATTCGATGACCATTTCAAATCTCTTGAGTCCCGTTGTAAGAGCCTGTTCTGCTTGTTCACAGAGACCTCACTTAAAACACTCTTGATCTTTGCTAACATTTTATTTTGTTTGTGAGAACGAGAGGAAAGAATAGCCCACTTATTGGTTCTTCAGTTAACACACTAAAAAACTACCACTCTGGACTAGCCAGCTGGCCTGTGTGGTTGCCAGAAAAATGCTAGAAAGGCTGCAACTTGTTTAACTCGATTAACTACCGATGAGTCTCTCAAAGCAAATAGTATCCAGACTGAAATCTCAACTTGGAAACTTGAAGCCTGGAAATTTGTCCTGCTAACTAGGTCAGAGAGGTTGCTGAGGGAATATGAGGAAACTGCTGGACTCCACCATGGGCTCTTAAAATATTGACCAGATATTGAACTCATGAGAAAAAAAAATCTAGAAAAAAATTTATCCTATATTAGTACTGTGATTATGCAGACTGAAAGGAATGAAAATACTTGATAATTATATGGAGTATTTGGGAATCCCTATAAGGAAAAGAAATTCCAAAATCCAACAATTACACAGTTAATGAATAATTATTTGCAATTGTCTAATTTGCAGCAGAATCTGATGCACAACCATGACAAAAGTACTACCATCATAAGCTTGTCTGTTCTCACAGCACTTGCATAAGGCCGGTATAGAATTCACTGACTCTTAAAGACATGCTTAACCCTTTTTGGAAACATGACATGAACCTCCTCTTCTACATTCATTGAAAGATATAATGTTAGTAATTTTGCTTGACAATTTAAACAATAGAGACAAGAGAGACAATAACTAAGGTCTGAAGACCTCTTCAGGCACAATACAGCACCCAGACATGGATAAATTTTCATGACTTCCTCACGATGCAAAAAGAATGAGCACAATTTTAAGAAGCTGTAACACTGTGCTGGGCTCCTTTGGTAGGCTTTCAGCTTGATGAGACAGAAATCCGTACTTAAAACAATTTATTCAAGCACTCTATGAGGTCAAAAGTATTTAGAGTGTATTTTAACTTGTGCTAAATTCAAAACAAAATCAAGTCTCAGCTTATTTGAGGTATGCAAGGAATGATACTTGCAGAATGGTAATGAAATAGAAACTTTTTTAAGAGTGATATAAACAGAATGTTGATGATTTGAATTAAACTCTTAGGTGACCCTGGCACTTCATTTCATTTGATAAATAAGAGTCCTTTGATCAGGTTATTTCAATAAACACCATATTAGGGAATGTTGAGTGACAGGTTAAGATTTCTTGAACAACATTTGTAAACCTTTTCGGCCACAGTATGTTGAAATAAATTTAAAAAGTAGAAAAAAAAATGCGTACATTAAGCTTAAATTTGCTTCAATTGAAGAAACTTTGCTTTCGTTATATATCTTATTTCATGATATTTCGCACTGTCTTTTTAACCGTATAACTTTACACATTTCCTCTCAGATCACAAATTAAGGTCAACATATTTACAATGTTTCCTGCGCAGAAAAACAAAATTACAAACATATTTTTGCACTGAAGCTATTGCAAAACAATTACGCTAAGCCTTGCGAAAAATGTGTCATACATGATTAATATGACAATCAAATGATTTCCAACACAATACGGAAATCATCCAGCCTTTGTGCAAACAATAATTATTTCACCTTCAATAAGTAAGAACTGAATCGTTTAAGTTTACCAACACAAGTTACGCCTAGATACGCAAGAAAAAGTCGTTTCACCGTTATATTTGCGTGGAGTTTTTAGACATGGATAAATCGGAAAACACTTGAAAACCATTTCCCTTCCTTAACAATCGTCTAACACGCATTTTATGAGACTAAAAAAGACAACAAAAGAGCTATAATCACAGCATGACGTTTGCCTCCGACAGATAACACCTGAACATTCTCGTAACTTAAATCGAAATATCGACAGCATTTAAAATCAAAGCGTCTTATTTTCCAGCGCAATTATTAAGCTCCGTGTCATCTGCCGCATGTAAAAAAATCAAGGCCTTAAAAATTAAGCCAGACTGTTCAATTTCGAGATTCCCATTAAATTTTAACCACTATGCCAGCGTGGTTTTCATTAATAATGAGTTTTGAAATGTCTAGAACGGCAAGAACAGCGTCGATCTGCAGACATGAAATATTGAAATGTCGAAAATTATTTTTTGATGAGCAACACACACCGCAGACCGCTTCCACGCACAGGAAAGAGCATAAAATTTTTCTTATGATACAGTGTAACTCTGGGGAAATATGCCAAACGAATCATTGGAAATAGGTTATTATACTACTGTGCTACTATGCAAACAGCAATCTTCCTTCAGTAAATTGAGTGAATTTGTCATTGACAAAGATTTTGACTGTTGAATGTTTATTCAGTGCTTGATGAGTAACGACACTCTCACGAAAATTGGGGCCAAACAAACATTAAGAAACATGTACGTATACAATATCAACACCAAAAAGATTCTCACCTTGATGTCTAGATGAACATAGTCTTGTTCATGCATATGTCTGACACCTTCCAGAATCTGCCTGAGGAGGAAAACAACTTCTCTTTCGCTTCTACTCGAGGCAGGTTCGTCGCTATCGTAAGCAATGCAGTGCCGATGCAGGTCTCCCCCAAGAGCACTGTGGAAGAATTTTCGAATATTGCATCAACATCATCGCAGTCGCCTGATGATAACATCATATTAAATAAACTTTTCTGCGCAAAGGCGAAAAACTCACAGTTCTAAGATGAGTATAATTTCACTTCGCGTCTCGAAGACGTCGTACAAAGTGATAATTTGTGGATGTTGGTTAGGGTAATTCGTTGCGCTCAAGATTTCAACTTCATGCCAAACTTCAGCGCGACAATCCTTGCCTTTCCTTCGCTTACGAACAAACTTAGCGGCGTATTCCTTTTGAGTTGTCTTTTCCCTGCACCGTTTCACGACTGCATATTGCCCTCTGAAAATAAAATATTTACGCCATCAGATTCTACCCAGTGAAGAAACAGACAGCAGAAAAGAACCGTGTACATTTTTACGTAACAAGACAACAGTTATACCTTCCAATTTCATCGAAAATATCGAAGTAATTTTCGATCGGTTCCGTACGCGGTGTGAACGCCATAAGGAGCGTTCCCTGAGCTGTCCCCTTATCACAGATCTGTAAGTCAAGTCGAAGAGTTCCTAAATTAAAGTCACCTTTCTGAAATCCAGCCGGCCGCCAATCTAAAACTATTTGCTCAGCCTGTCACACCAGATCGCTGTATGAAAATACTTAAACTTCTTTGCGCCTTGCCGCGCATTTGCTTGATCAATCGACCAATCAAAATTGTCCAATTGCCGATAACTCCACCTCCTCTTTGTCGTCACTTCCGCCCACTTGATTAGCAGGTCCCCGTATGACTGTCGTCTGACTGGAAAATGATGAGATGTTCTACAAATGATGTTCACATCCAGAACATCTGATCTCTGAATGTGATATGAGGAAACTACATCTGTTTTTAGCCCTGTGTGATTTAACTAGCTTGCAGACATCTATAAAAGATGTCAATAAAATTGGAATGATTGATCAGAAAAAAAAAAGAAAAAAAAGAAAAAAGAAAAGAAAATGTGCCACTGTGAATTCAGGCGCTTTTAAAACTTGAAGACCATAATATTCAGCTTACCCGAAAATTCAGTCTCATAGAAATTCACTTTCGTGTCATCGATGAAAGTGAAAAAAAATTCCCCTCTACCAAACGACACTTTCATGCGGAAATTCCCTTAAAATTTACAATGTTTCTTGTTTCTGTGTACTAATAAATAACAATACGTTTTGCCAGTTTAATCAAATGTTGAGTTTTGGATTTTGTAGGTTTGCTAAGGCATGTTACTTTTTTCAAGGTTCCGTCGGTACATGACCACGCGATGTCTTTGAGGAAATATTTGCCATTTCATCGGTTTTCACGACTCAATCCTACCCTGTTATTTGTGACGTACTTTCCTTCTGAAGAGACGATTTTGTCGTTCAACTAAAAATGGTAACTTACCACAGGTTATCGCGGAAAGATCAAAATCTCATGCGCTAATTTCTGTGACAATGCCAAAAACATGATAACAATGCCTTAATCTTTCTTTTGGGCCATACCGACGATTCCAACCAGAAATAGAGTAAACTTATATTACTCGTTTGTAAGAGATCTGTCTAGTGGGTGTCAATTTTTAGCTCCTCTGGTGTTAAAACCCAACTTGACAGCATGACTTTTTAAAAAGTCTTCTCAAATCATTACGCTTGCGTTCAGTGACATGAAAATGGGCCAACTGAGAAACTGGCTGATAAATGAGAGAATCCCGGATTTGACGCTATTGAGCCGTCTCTGCCAGAGTTGTCTTCTCTTCGGTGTTGCATGACAGTTTGAGTAGCGCAGAATGCTCTGTTTGATTCTTTTCAGTAGTATTATTCCACCCTCTTAAAAGTAAAACACTGTTGGCGTCAAACATGCTATATAAGCCAAACATGCTGTCTAAGCTCGCTTTACTGACAAAACTGAACAAACAGAAGCACTATGAAAGCAGACAACTTTTAATACAAAACTTCACAAAAAACAAACATAATATACACTTATTTTTCAATTGCCTCATACCTACAAATTGAGCCGCAGGTGGAAACTTTTTAAGTGTAAAAAATAATAATAAATAACCTATTAGAATGAAGGCATTTCACAAATTTCGCTTCCAGACTCAATTACAAATTTCGTCGTGACGCAATACTATTCAAATTACGTGACTCAGCTGCCAAAAAACCCTACACACGAATTAAGTATCCCTCATAAGGAGGAAATATTTTATATTAGCATCAGCTTTGATAATTTATCTTTTCATTACAATTAATTCAACAAGTTCACAATGCTGAAAATCTATATCAAGTTATCATATGTATATATGCACCACTCAAGCAAATTTTTTCCTGTTTTTAATTGTCTTTTTCGTGATTCACGATGTCGTGGCCCACGTCCACACCAACATGCCATAGGGCGACACGACCAAACTAACGTTAAAACGTCTTGTTATACGAAAGAACGCATTTTAAAGTATTATGAGCCAATTCCTACACAAAATACAACTTTCAGAATTGACCCGAGGTTAGGGATTATCAAATCAATACCATCCCTCCAGCCCCGCTCCTCCCTCCCCCTGCGAAGCACAAATGTGCACGTTACCCCTCCCCCCTTACCAATGAAGATGTGAGCACTCGCCAGATCCCTTAGATGTGAAGTTTCTGTGATTCAGTTATCAACAGATTTGACCCTCTTATTGTAAATTCACAAAATAAAACCATTCAAAGAATGCTGTCTAATGAAGTGACAAGCTTCGGTAGCTTAGTCCACTTGGTGAGGCGGCTACAGCCGGTAAGGAAATTTCGTCGCCACAAACAGTGAGTAATCCGATCGATACACGCGAACTTCCTCAAAAGTTCCGCTAACAGAGCCATGGGAGCTATTGGAAATGGCTTGTTGAAGAGGCGGGGGATTACAGCCAGGCTTACACAAAGTACTTCATACACGCAGGAGAATTAATCTATTCTAGAGTCACTCCCTAAATTGTCCACGCAAAAGTAAGAGATTAATTTCATGATAAAACTTCCTTTACATCGCTAACACCATTGGTTACGTATTAATCCATACCACCTTTCGTAAAAATTTAATTCTAACTTCTGGATGCGGCTGATATCAAATTTAGCAAAATGCGACGCGTTTCATTTTCAATTAATTCTCCAACTAATCTTTCTGTTTCCTAGTTCTACAATTTGAATCTACTTTCTCCAGGTGTCATATCTTTTAATACATTTGGAAATTTGCCAATTAGCAGCACTTCGCTATGTACATGAGCTAAAATGGACATTCAGGTAAGGTAACCAAGGTAAGGCTTTTCAGCTTTTTTTTTTTTATGCTTTTTTTTGCTGGACTAGCAAACGAGGTGAATCACTGTCAGACCAGATTGAATTTTATGTGACTTATGTTCGGGACAATTTTGTCACAACACCAAGAACAAAGCTTTTGATAAACATTCTTCAAGTAACACGAAAGGAACTGTCGCAGCGACTTGCCAGTTTTAATGTTCAATCGGGCAGGTTGTCTTAAAAAACAAGTTTGACTGACAGGTCACTGCATTGAAAAGGTTTCCGATTCCTCCACAGCGAAAGTGAGCTTCTCATGGAGTTCTTCATATGTTCGATACAGAGGAAGATCCAACCGGTTGAAACAGGTATGAGCCCTGTCATCAAAGAATAAAATAGCTGATGAGTAATTGCAGCAAGAACGGAGCAGGGTTGGCGTAGTGGTGAGAGCGCTCGCCTT